AAACCACCTCCTGGTTACACGCCTGACTCTAGCTGTAGATATTTCTTCAGGCACAAAATTTCTTATTCGTGCATTCAAGCATCTTTCCAAAAATCCTTCAATATCTCCCCAATCCAAATTTCAATAATGATTTAATTTTTCTATTCAATAAGAGCTCTAATTTGTATACCAAGTAGCTTCCACAAACCATTTTGCACCCCAAACTTTTGACGACTTTTCATGCAGAAAAATTAAATTCTTTCAAAAATCTTTTTTTTTTGAAAAGGCACAAAAAATAATCGCATAATTTAATTTGCAATATTTTCCATTCTTCTTCCTTTTTTTCCTCGCCAAAGTCGTCTGCATGTCTGGAAAATTAAAAGTTTCTCAAACAGCTTTGAAGTTTTTAAAAGAACGGAACTGAACTAGAACTGCGTTAAATTGTACAAAATATGTTTGTTTTGATATCTGTCGCGACCTCTGAATGTGAGGATGTACAGCATATCCATACTGATATTCATGTAGCTGAAAATTAATTTTCATTTTCACGCTCATATGAGCATAACATTCATATCAACAGGTGTCATCGCATGAAACGGAAATATAAATATAAAGAAAATGATAAAATCGTGTTATTTTTACATTAGATACTCTTTGTTCAAGTGCTCATGACCTTTTAATTTTCATGGCTGATGCGAAGATGTTCTTGCTTTTGTTACGATTGACAAGATGCACGCATTTTTTATGAGAAAAATTGGCAAGGTTTTATGAGAAGTTATGTAGTCAATTGGGGAGGTCGAGTAATTTTTTATGAGTTTTTTTGGCAATTATGCATTGTTATTGCATTTATTGTTATGAAACATTGAAGCTTTTCAAGAAAGTGCCTTACCAGGCTAGCAACAGGAACGTCACAAAAATTCAAATTCCTTAATTTCAAACACGAAAAATTCGAATTCCAAAAATTAAAACATGAAAAATTCACATTTCAAAAGTTGAAACTCAAAAATTTCGAATTTCAAACGAAAAATTCAAATTTCCAAAATCAAGAAAATTTCGAGTCATAAAAGTTAAAAAAGAAACTCAAAAACTTTGAAATCCAAAATAATCCAATTCAATTCACAACTTCTGTTTGTCGGCCTCTTTTCTACCGAAATAGAAAAGATCACAGGACTCACCTCGCGAGGTTGAATTCCTCAGTGATACGCTCCTTCTTAAATCAAACAACTTTCGTTAGACGACTTAGGTGCAACTTACAGGATAGCCAAGTTTTATCAACTATGATAAAAACTGTTAATTAAACACATCACCGGGTTACATTAAATACCGTGATGCATCTATCATTAAGGGTGTGCGACCCATCTGGAGTACCACTGGCCTTTACATCCCCTCCAAACCAACAAGAACAAGCTGTAACACCGTACGGAATGGCTTGGAGTCATGAATGGTGGGCTCTCGTTCAGGATTTATTGGGTAAAGATCCTTTACCAAATACAAAGTAAAGTATATGAGCTGAAAAAGAAGGATATTAGTAAACAGGATAAAACGGGATAAAACGAACGGACAGGAATGTTTTTTTTTCGGACAGCCCACCCTCAATCCCCTCTTAAGTTATTCCTAAAAAGTTCAAAGCGCTTCTTATAGAGGATAAGCCTCGTTCGAGAAAAAATTATAGTCAAAAACTCGAACGCTCCTACCCTTGAGGTCAACAAGGCGCCACTCTTGTATAGATTTTTATTGGCTCTTCTCCTCAACCCAGTAAATTAAAACGAGACGATTGCCCACCCAGGATCCCACAGAACAATAAAAAATTCATCTAGTCGTTCCCCCTTAAAAATTACAAAGTGACCCCCCCCCCCTTACGTTAAAACAATCGACTAGATGCCTCCTTGAAATATTTTGTTCTGTGTATGTTAAAGCTTAAATTGAAAATTTACATTTGAGGAATTAAAACAGTAAGCAACAGTGAATATAAAGCAAGTTACTGAAATCGTATGACCAGGAAAGTGTTGAATCAAAAATTGTAATTTAAAAAGTGATATTTAAGGAAAAAATTGCATGTTAAAATTGTTTGGTGGAATTTGTGACAAACTTCAAGCATACATCAATGCTTGTCATACAGCTAATCGATGTGACATTTGTATTAGGCAACTAAAAAGCAAGAGTGGACCAAAAAGTCATCTTAAAGCTGACATAATTCTTTAAATGTGAAATTTTTCATGCAAAGATCTCAAGACATTGAAACTAGATATGTCTACAAACTCTGAAATATAAACTAATAATCTTCATAGCTTTTCACAGACAATTGAACAAGACACATGACTTAATTCCCTTTATACTTTTTAAAGACAAGAAATTATTAAATATTAAGTCAAACTTGTTTAAATTCATATTCAACCCAGACTACGTATTTTGATTGATCCTCGCCGCATGCAAAATCGTGGAAATTAATACCACTGCAAACTATTAAATCTGTCACTTTGAATTTGCAATATTCATAAGGAAGTAGTGAAAAACAAAAAAACATTGGAAATTGAGTCAACATGTTTTTAATAAATTCATAGCCGCATTGATTGGTGATGACAGTTTTTAATTTCGTTTCATTGGCTGGCGCTAGCTGATTCAATATTCAATTATCAATAGTCTTGGGATGTAAAGTGCAATTATGATAAATTAATCATCAAAGGATTACTGTTCAGATTGATTGTCATAGCTAATGAGTCTTGGGAGAGGGGAATGGAGGGCTTATAACGAGTCATAAGCATGCAATAATTATTTGAATTGTGTTATTATAAATTTTGCTACCTATTACATCAAAAGAAGCTGTACTTAAATACTTTAATAGCAAATACTTTTAACTAGAATGACAGCAAAACGACTGTAATCGATGTTATGTCAAAAAATTAAATGACTATCACGCCTCACGACTCGAAGCAAATCTTCCTTTCACTAAAACTATTTTTAATCATTAATTAAATCTTAGCTGAGCTAATTTATTTCCCATTCAACGCACGAGTTAGATTCAAGTCATTTATTTTTATTTCTTTTCATACTGAAAAAATTTTTGATGAGAAAAAAACATTCGATTGCCAAAAAAAAGTTACAAACTGAGAATAAGCAAATAGGAACATTTCAAATTTAAGAAATATAATTTATGAGAGAATTAATTTTTCGTGTAATATTAGACAAAAAAATAGCTTGTAAAGCTAATTAAAATTAAATTGCTGTTGATGCACGGTGCATCAGGTGTGAAAAATTATTGCTTAATAATCCATCACGATGCACGATGATCAATTCAGAGAAGTAGTCAGAATTCCATCTATGAACATCTAGATTCTAGATATAAATTTTCTTAAAGCAAAGAAAAATATATGTTGTGCTTGAAATCAGAATGCATTTTTATTCAACAAGACAGAAGATTATTTGTTAAGGATATTACAACTATACAAGGCCTTGCTAGGGGAAAACAGCTTAATAAAGTTGCAAATACAATTTAAATATTAAACGACAGTTAATTTATTCTCAATAATGTTAATCCTCATTTCCTATCAAATCAAATGAACACTGCCACAATCAGTACTTACTTTATTTATCCAGTCTATTTCGTATCTGAACTAGAAAAACACACCATACTGCCCTGAATAGCACAAACCACAGCACCATCATCAAAAACAAAAAAAAAACAGTTGATAACCACATCACAAAAATAACAAATGCTAACATAAATTCCCTTACATCACGTTATCAACCAAAATCTGCATTGTCACACATCAACACACCCACACATCTTTTCAAACATGCATGAAAATTGGCTCATTTCAATTACAAAAGTCACAAGAAACTCACTTAATCTCTAGCTGTTAGGTGTGTTTTGTCATTGTTATCTCATTCAATCAATGATAATCCACATAACAAATGAGCAAAATGGAAACAAATCGCTGCTATAGTGAGTAAGTATGGCAATAGTCCCGAGCAACTGATGTGTAAAATATTTTTTTTTTTGGAAGGGATTCTGGTGGGGATGGGAGTAGTCAGGAGAAATGATATATATTTAAGACTATTTATCTGCTAGTGGGGATCTCTTATAGATTATTATTATTATTTATTTGTCGACGTTACCGTCCGGAAGAATTAGTATTTATTCATGTTTTACTTTTTATATTGATTAGTGATACATTTCATATCACTATGGGTGACGTAGAATCAAGCTTCTAATCTTCAAATCTAGGTTTCGATTAAATTCAGGCTCTCGTTTCAATCTTCTGTGGGCGTGACGTGATACATTTCAGGTCCGTTCTGACAATATTCCATTATAAGGTAATTTTGTAGCTCTCGTACCTATTTCTCCCACTACACTTCAAGTTTCTGATCCGTATCTAAACTTCTGAAAAAGAACTAATTTGGAAATGGCTGGATTCGAACCGACGACCTTCGAGTTACCATACCAAATTTGAGCCAAGCGCCTTACTTATTCGACCAGCAAGGCACTTAACTTGCTTAGATTTGTGAAGGATACTGCAACCTAGCTAAAGTTTTTGGAAGACTGCTGTCAGAAATGACATCCTGGGTTCAGTTCGATCGCTATGTCAATCTTGACTTACACGTGAATTGAAAACGCTTTAAGAGCTTTAGACCACATTTCAGCTAGGCACCTCAAAAAGCAAGCACGATTAGTATAAATAAACTGTAATTTTATCATTTGCCCCCCGGAATCCACGACATGATAATTTTAAATCCATTCCAATTCATTATCTTATCTCTCCTTGTCAGAGCATTACTCGATTGTCTATTAATTTTCAACCAAACGAAACACTAAATCATGTCACTAATATGATATACTTGATCACTGTTTTCCTTATCAAGTCATAGATTTATATTCCAAAAGTGACTTTTTTCCACCTACTTACCTGTGCTTGTGATAACAAACATAATTAAACAATGATTTTCATCTGCGCAAATCACACACAAAACCGACTGAAAATTGTTTTCCGTTCCTGATTGTAACTTTTTTTTACTTCGAAACAGAATTTTTTCAGTTGGCTTTTAAGTGCCGTGTTGTCAACAATGCAATGGTCGTGGCTAAAAGTCCTCATTGTGAGCTTTTTATTTTGTGAAGGAACCGCAAGTGATGGAGTCAAGAATTTTGAGATGTTTTTCTTGACACTCGACAAGGATTTAACTGATTTTAATCATCGTATAGCGGAACTGGCATGGGATGCATTGTGCGTTATCTATGTGGAAGTAAATTAATCACTTAATCTCGTCCTTTTGTGCTTATTCTTATCTCGACAGAATGAATCCTTCAAATATTAACAAGCAAGTTGAACTTGAGGATATTGCTGGTGAAAGGTTGCGATTTATTAACCGGAAATGTAAGCAAATGGGTGCTATGAATGATGAATTGCTTGATACACAGCGAAGAGCTTATGAATTGATGTGCAGTGGAGTGAAATTTGATGATCCTCTGGAACAAAGGTTAGGATTTGACTTTTTATAAAGATTAAGGTTTTCAAAACTTTTGAGAAGTGAATGATCACGAAGCAGATGATTTCATTGTCTTGACTGGCTGCTTGATGTTTATTAATCTTAAAATTTTCTTCTTCACAGAGAACTCCTAGAAACTTCAAGTCAGATCCAATACATTTACACAAATACAAAAATTTGCATACCGAACAGTTTGGATATATGTTCAAATGCCATAAATCTGTGGAACTTCACATATGTTCAAAGTGGAGATGATTTGAGGAAGCTGTCTTTCAATCGTGAGGGAGAAATCATTTTTTTGGATGCAAAAGATAATCAGATTCAACTTAAATGCTATTCAGGAGAGCCCCAGCTTGAGAAACTTATGGACAATGGTAAGTAATGCGTTAAAATGAGCAAAAGCTTATTAAGAAGCTCTATCACTTCCAAGAAGATGTTAAGTAGCTGCACATTAGAAATGGCTGCAAATTGTTTGATTCTAAACTGCTCTAAGAAAACTGGATTAAATTTCAGCTCGGAACAAATTTGGACAAAATTTAACTATGTAAAGTTTAAGTCAGACACGAATAGACTTAATTTGTGTAATAACATAATCCAAATTCAATCAAATTAAAGAACAAAATATCAAAAACATGAGTTCTAAATTACAAATTAATTGAATGACGTCCATAACAAATTCAACAAGCTTGACATTGAAATTCTATTCCAAAAATTTCCATTTTTACGTCATCGACAAAGGCATATGGAAGCACTCAAATTAAAAACAAATTAATTATTTTTAAACCTTTTTCCCCTGAATATCCAAATTGAGTCTCTCTTGCCATAAAACTCTTCAGCAATTTATTTATTGTCCAATTTTTTTTTATTTTAAAACCTTTTTTATTCAACAGATTATTCAGCAGTAACCCCAAAGAACACCCTCGACTGCAAACGAAATGTAGATGTGATAAATTATTGGATATGGGAGGTGTGGAGACAATCGATTGGACCTAACATTCGAGAGCTCTATCCAAAATTGATTAAAACAATGAACAATGGTGCACAGAAGGCTGACTTCTCCAATATCGGTATGATGTGGCAGCATGAAATGGAGATTGATGAAGTTGAAGATTTAATGCGTGATATATGGACTGAAATACAACCGTTCTACAACATGCTGCATGCCTTCGTCAAATCAATACTGGAGAAAAATTTCAAATCAATTGACAAACGGAATCAAAACATCCCAGCACATTTTCTCGGATGGAATGCAAATTGGTATCATTTATTAAAGGATTACATTGAGCCGACAATATTCTCTGACAAATGGAATATCGATGAGTCATTGAGGGGTAGGAAGTGGACATCAAGTGATGTTGTTAAAAAAATTGAAGATTTTTATACCTCACTGGGACTGACTCGAATGCCAAGGGATTTTTGGGACAAAAGTTACATCTCTAATGACATCAACATGAGTTGCCATGGAACAGCAGCTAATATGTTTAAGGATGATGATTATCGCGTTGCTGTTTGCGGCTATAAACGACTTTATGATTTATACGTAATAACACATGAAATGGGACATGTTGAGCAGTACATGATGTCACAAAACAAACTAGCACCATTCCGAACAGGCAATACAGTCATTCAAGAGACAATTGGTGATTCCATATTCTTAGGATTTATCACACCTATGCACTTGAATCGACTCAAACTTATTGATGACTCAATGCTTTTTCCAACGACTCAAATACCGTCTACATCTGACCTTCATCAATTGTTGATTATGGCACTAATGAAGGTTCCAGAAATACCATTTGGATATGTTTTCGAATCATTTCGTTATGACTTGTTTGCTGAGCGTATCGATATGGAAAACTCAAACGATTACTTTTGGGAATTGACGAGGAAAATTCAACGAATTGAACCGCCGAATGTTGACATTAATCGTCATCAGTTGTTTGATGTTGCTGCAAAATTTCACTTTGCTGCTAATGTGCCATATGCGAGGTATTTTTTTGCCAACATTTTGCAGTATCAGATTTTTAGAGGACTGTGTGAGGCTACAGTTTATGGAAAGGTGAAGGGGAACGAGACGTTGAGCATGCCACTTCATAAGTGTGATATTTATGGATCACGAAGAGCTGGAAAATTGTTAAAGTAAGCGTTTTTGATGTTAATATTGTTATAGCAGTTCCATTTTTACAATCAATTTAGTATCAGATCTAGCTTTATAAAGTGGTTACAGTTTAGCGAGTTTTTATTCAAGTTCCGAGTAATACAGTGCAAATAAATTGATTTACTCGCGTTTAATCATACTATTTGGATCTAATGACGCACGCAATGAACAGAACGCTTGTCACTTAATAATTGAATCTATACTAGAAGTAGTAACAGGCCAAGTTTTTAAGAAGATCTAAGAAGATAGCTAGGCCTGATAATTGACACTATTCTAATTGCAATTATTTTGATCCTTCAAACTCTAAATAGCCTCTTTTTGCAATAAGACGATCCAAAAGCATAGATATAACTTATAACAATGTGCATTGCTAGGAAATTTCATTGGCTGCTTTAAAAGTTTAATTTAACATCGCATCAATTTTCAAATAGATAGCTTGAACATTTTTCAATAAAAATTTTGAGGATAATGAAATCATCTGTGCCTAAAAGGATGATTCATTGAATGACGTCTTTAATTTTTCGGGAAGAATTAAGTTCTGAAATTTTGTCAACGCTGCATACAAAATTTAAAATTGTAACAAAACAAAACGGGTCTGAAAACATCTCATTTTTGATGGACTTAATAGGTTAAATCATCCCACACATGTTCTCGCAAATGTGAATTTAATTAAGCAACTTTGTTATTGCGGCTGCATTTTTTTTTTTTCGTACGATTCAACCAACATGGATGCATCAATTTTATTTTACAAACTTAATTGATGTTCACTTAGCGATTTTTACACGATATATCCATTTACCTTAAAAGATTTAATTAATTTATGCTCTCGAACTTTTACCTTTATATTCTAGGAAAGCATTAAAAAACGGAAGTGAGGCGACATTTAAAACAATTTTAAAGGATTTAACGGGAATGGATAAAATATCAGCAGCTGCTCTTCTTGAATATTATGAGCCATTAATTGAGTGGCTAAAAAATTATTTGAGTGTGTATAATATCGTGTATTAATATTTATGGTAACTTACCATTTATGGTTATATGTTTAATTTAAATAATGAATAAAAATATTAACAAAATATTCTTTTACCAGCCTGAAAAGAATTTAAAGTGCTGTTTGCATTTTTATGGGCATATATAAGGAAGTTGGGATGAGAACCTTTGGAACTGTCAATATGAAATCTGATGTAATCATTTGAAAATGATAGAAGATATCCTTTTTGATGGTTTTATAAGTTAATGGTAATCAATCATCAATCTAATCTGAACTGTTCTGAACAGGTTCGTTAATTTTTCAATTTGCTAGGGTACATTAAGACAAAAATCTGAACCCCTTACCACAGATTAATTTGACTCAAAATTTTTTGTCGATCTGCATTGATCTGTGGTAAGTACTACCTGAACATTAAGGCAATTGCATGGAACAAGATATTGATGACTATTTGCTTATTAAACCAAGCCAGACCAATATATTGGGCCAGAAATCGAAAACTTTTCCGAAAATTATTTTTTTAGTCTAAATGATAGCTCTTTCATTCCCATTTATGAAAATACTTACAAAAGTGGCCAATTCAGCCTAAGTTCCGAGTTATGGCTTTTCAAATTTTTGATTAAGAGCATTTTCTCGCCCCACAAAAATTGTCACTACTTTTCATTAGATTGATGAAACTCTTTCAATTTTTTTTTATTTGGTAGCTTAAAATAAGAGCTTTATTTTAGGATAGTAAACATTTAATTATGCATCTTTTAACTTTATGAATTTTAAGGTTTTTTCAAAAAAGCACGTGTTCAGTATGATTATGTTCGTCTAGGACTTCACTCTTAAAATAAATGATGCTGAATCTTTTTTTATATTGTAGATATAAACAAGATCTACAACTTTTATTAAAATACTATAAAGTTTTAGTAGAGTTTTGCTGATGAAATTAAGTCTTTTCTTCAAAAAAACTGCAATTTTTTGACATAAATTCCCATAACTTTTCAGGATAGCCCAAAGGAGTGGATTTTTTTTACATGCTTTGAAAGCTCTTTGGATATACTATCAGAATATATAATCAGCTTGAGTTCGGTTACTGAGACAATCTCGAGCAATTTGACTTTGAAGTGTGACCAGAAATACATTTCAAAACATAAAAATTGAAAATAAATTTTGTACGTTTTTCAAAATTTTAGTTTTTTGCTTTAGATCAATAGATCTCATCAAGGCGCATATTTTGAGTATAAATATGTCATAGTTTGAACAATTTTTATACTCAAATTTCAACAAAATCATTTTTATATATTTTTTCAACAAATTTTACTTATTTTTCAATTATTTTAAATCAAAACATATTTTAAATCTTCTGATTTTGATATTTTTTGAAATTTCTATGTTTTTATGTTAAATTGTCACTCCTAGAGCAACAATTCATAAATTTTTTTTACTTTAAGGTAATTTTTTTATAATTTTTTGCAAATTACACTCATTTTTCTTATCTTTTTTTATCAAATTTTATTTTATGATAATTCTAAATATTGAAATTTAATGTAATATGCATAAAAATTCTCTTAAATATTTAAAGATCATATTTTATCCAATTAACGTAGGAATAAAGCTGGAATGAGCAAAGCTTTGATATGTTCCTTTAATCTGAAGGAAATTTTCCTTTCGATTCAGAACATATAAGCATCCAATCATTTATTTTTAATAAATTTCGGTAAACATACTTATTTCCATGCAATTGTAAAGCATAAACTATCACCACGAACTATTAAAATTAAAGACCTATAATGAAAATAGTTTTTAAAAAGGAAAACGCTATCAACCATTTTCCAATCTATCAAATTTATTGCGACAATTTTTATCCAATGTTGAATGGTTCCTTATAGTTTTTTACCATATTTCATTGATTTTTCAAATTTTTGTCTTTGTATATACTTTTTTTACTGATCTGTGGGCGCAACGTGATACATTTCAGATCCGTTCTGACAATTTATCATTATAAGGTAATCTTGTAGCTCTCGTTCCTATTTCTCTCGCTACACTTCAAGTTCCTCATCCGTTCCTTAATCCAAATATCGCATGGCTTGATCTCGTACATTAAGCAGTCGAAGTATCTAAACTTCTGAAAAAGAACAAATTTGGAAATGGCTGGATTGGAACCGACGACCTTCGAGTTACCATACCAAATTTGAGCCAATCGCCTTACTTATTTGACCAGCGAGGCACTTAAACCCTTATACATAGACAAAAATAGATTCAAGAACCATCATTTAGTTTTGATAAATTTCGAAACGATGCAAACTTTTCAAACTTTTGTATATATACTTTATATATTTCATACTGGTAAATTCCAGTCACCATTAGTGAGTCCAGTCAGATTATAAATATTGAGCTTTCAACTTCCGAACCTGAAAGGCAGTTTATGCTTTACAATTGCATGGAAATAAGTATGTTTACCGAAATTTATTAAAAATAAATGATTGGATGCTTATATGTTCTGAATCGAAAGGAAAATTACCTTCAGATTAAAGGAACATATCAAAGCTTTGCTCATTCCAGCTTTATTCCTACGTTAATTGGATAAAATATGATCTTTAAATATTTAAGAGAATTTTTATGCATATTACATTAAATTTCAATATTTAGAATTATCATAAAATAAAATTTGATAAAAAAAGATAAGAAAAATGAGTGTAATTTGCAAAAAATTATAAAAAAATTACCTTAAAGTAAAAAAAATTTATGAATTGTTGCTCTAGGAGTGACAATTTAACATAAAAACATAGAAATTTCAAAAAATATCAAAATCAGAAGATTTAAAATATGTTTTGATTTAAAATAATTGAAAAATAAGTAAAATTTGTTGAAAAAATATATAAAAATGATTTTGTTGAAATTTGAGTATAAAAATTGTTCAAACTATGACATATTTATACTCAAAATATGCGCCTTGATGAGATCTATTGATCTAAAGCAAAAAACTAAAATTTTGAAAAACGTACAAAATTTATTTTCAATTTTTATGTTTTGAAATGTATTTCTGGTCACACTTCAAAGTCAAATTGCTCGAGATTGTCTCAGTAACCGAACTCAAGCTGATTATATATTCTGATAGTATATCCAAAGAGCTTTCAAAGCATGTAAAAAAAATCCACTCCTTTGGGCTATCCTGAAAAGTTATGGGAATTTATGTCAAAAAATTGCAGTTTTTTTGAAGAAAAGACTTAATTTCATCAGCAAAACTCTACTAAAACTTTATAGTATTTTAATAAAAGTTGTAGATCTTGTTTATATCTACAATATAAAAAAAGATTCAGCATCATTTATTTTAAGAGTGAAGTCCTAGACGAACATAATCATACTGAACACGTGCTTTTTTGAAAAAACCTTAAAATTCATAAAGTTAAAAGATGCATAATTAAATGTTTACTATCCTAAAATAAAGCTCTTATTTTAAGCTACCAAATAAAAAAAAATTGAAAGAGTTTCATCAATCTAATGAAAAGTAGTGACAATTTTTGTGGGGCGAGAAAATGCTCTTAATCAAAAATTTGAAAAGCCATAACTCGGAACTTAGGCTGAATTGGCCACTTTTGTAAGTATTTTCATAAATGGGAATGAAAGAGCTATCATTTAGACTAAAAAAATAATTTTCGGAAAAGTTTTCGATTTCTGGCCCATAGTGCAATAATAGTTTTTCAGATTCACAGAATTTGATAGAATTAAGGTTTACATACATGTAAAGTATGATAAGATCCAGTTATCATCCAGTCTTCGAGTGACTTAGTTCACCTACCTATGATAGTATTCTATGTTTTAGATTTTTAAAAATAAATTAACCGTTACTTAAAAACATAGCAAAAATTATTTTGCCATTTCGAGACGTTATTTATCAATAACCCCCTAAAACATAAACAAAAAGAAAATTCAATATTGAAATAAAAATTGCAACACCTGTGAATTAATTTAAGATAGCTTAAAATCAATGGCAAATGACAGAGAAGTTCTAAAGGAAGTCTGGGATGGTAAAATTCCTACAAAATTCATCGTCGATAGCGAAGACATCGAAGTTGAAGCTTACTTTTTATTATTACCGAGAGTAAGCTACTTAAGTTTAGTGATTGAAAAGATCAGGAAGCATTTCCAAAGGTATATTGAGAAGGAAGATGAAATTTGGTTCAGCTACAACAACTCAATACCTCTTAAGTTTCATATTCCGATTGGTAAGTTATGGCTTAATTTGAAATCCCATACAATTCTTAATACAGTATTTTTCAGGTGTTCTATACGATTTAACTGGCAGTGAGCATCCTTTACCTTGGCAAATTAATGTCCATTTCAACAAATTTCCAGAAGATTGTTTATTTAAGTTTCCCAACAAGTAAGCTTAAAATTCTATTTACAGGCTGACTTACTAGTTTATCTATTTCTCAGAGATGTAATCGAAAGCTTTTTTATGAACTGCTTAAAAGAAGCTGATTTTTTGAAGCATAAAGGACAAATTGTCTCTCAAATGCAAAAGAAGGAGCATAAACAACTTTTCCTAGGATTACAAAATGACAAATTTGATCAGTTTTGGGCAGTCAATAGACGATTAATGGAATCGATAGAGCAGGAAAATTGTTTTAAGTACATTCCGTTGAGATGCTACACTGACGTAAATATAGTACAATAATCAACAAAGACAGATAGATCTGTGCTTGATAATACGATGAATTTCAAGATCAGATTTAACTCTTTGTAGATTAGGAGCTGCTATTGGTAAATTGTAATGATTTATTCCTACTAATTTAGGATTGCTATTCATATTCACAAAAGCTGATTTGTCCACTGTCCGAAAAAGGACAGAGAAAGACACTAAAAGACTTGCTCAAAGAATTATCTACACCCACGTTAGAAGCGATTGGCGCTAAAACTCATGGAGTAGAAGTTCCTTTAGATGCTGAGGCAAGTTATAATTTGATTTTATCCTTTATGCTGTAAATTAGTGCCCAAAATTGATCAGATAATAATAATTTTAAATATTCTTCCAGCTTCAATGGCTTAGCGAGACTCTCAGCTATCCTGACAATTTTCTACATTTGTGCTTGATTTATAAATAAGTTTTCAAACACATTCGAATAAAACCTTAAGAAAAACTATTTAATGATCAATAAAAAAGTTTCAAAAGTTAAAAAATAACGGTCGAAAAATATTTGAAAATTATCATTGAAGAAATTTAAAAAGATAACGACCAAAAGTCACTTAATTATTTATTGTTTTGCTTTTATATTTCCGTACTTTTTTGCTTGACATAAAAATAAAATAATACAATCGATTAAAGTATGAATTTGTTTGTATTTTTTATTGTTTAAAGTTCTACAATAAAGGAAATTAAGAAAATTAATCTGTTTTATCTTAAAAATGCATATTTCAGAAAAGATAATAGAAATCTGTTTTAATTCTGTTGATTTATTCATCTTCTTCCTTTTCCTTCTTTTTGTCTTTCTTCTTTTTCTTTTTTTCACTCGTCGGTGTTTCAGCCTTAAAATGAAATTAATTTGATTAAAGAATATTTTCAAAAATAAATGTTAACTTACAGGCAATTCAACTGGTTCTTCCTGAGCAACTTCTGTTGATTCGTCTGGATTTAATTTTTGCTTTTTCTTCTTCTTTTTTACTTCAACTACTTGTGAATTGTCAAGAGACACATCATTTGGTCCTACGCTTAATTTACGTTTGTTATTTTCCTCAGCAGCTGTATTTCCATTTTGTTGTGTCTTGTTGTTATAGTCTACATATCCTGTAAGCCATTCTTTTGGAGTGTTTTCATTTGGCTTACCATATTTATCTAAAAGACCTGCAGCAATTAATTCCTTCTTCTTAGATGCTTTTGGTCCAAGACCCCATTTTCTTGGATATGTATCACGTTCCATAATGACACGCTTTAATTTTGCACATACTCCATGATCGCAACTAGCCATTGTGGCTGTTGTCATTAATGCAATGGCTAAAGCTATTGCTTCACCTATAATCAAATAAATAACAGTTATTAAAGACAATCTAAAGTTTATATGCAGGATATAACTACCTTTGGTGGTAACGATGACGATTTCATCATTAATTTCGATGCCGTCTTCATATCTCAACACACCAGGCAACATGATTTGAGCTCCATAGCATATAGAATTAACTGTACTATCCTTGACAATGATTCTTTTGTGGGAAACAAGCAAGCCTTCCAAAGGTTTAATAACGCGACGCAATAACGATTCATCTTTATGATTTTCATAAGCATATTGAGCATCAAGCACATCATGCATGGATACCATACCATCTTTTTCACTTTGAATACCTGATCGAACACGACGGAGTTCCAACATTTGTCCACCAACACCCAAAACAAGTCCCAAATGAACACACATTGTTCTGATATAAGATCCAGCTTCACAGCTTACCCAAAACACACCCATATTACGATTTTCGTCGTAGTCTAGCAATAAACTATCATAAACTGTTCTGACACGAAGCTGTCGCTTAACAGCTGAAATCAATGGAGGTCTTTGAAATAGAGCACCACGAAGTTTCTCTAATCCCTGATTGACCCGTTGGATAGATTCAACTGCTGAATGTAGCTTAAAAACAGCAACATACTCTTTTCCTGCACTTTGTTGACTCTTAACTAATCGAGTAGCTCTGTCAATACACACAATCAAACATCCAGTTACTTTTGGATCTAAAGTTCCCGAGTGACCAGTCTTCTCTACTTTTAAGATTCTTTTAATCCAAGCAACAACTTCGTGTGAGCTAGGATTAGATGGTTTGTCAAGGTTAATAAATCCACTTTTGACATATTCCTTAATATGACGGCTTAAGGGTGATGCTCCGTTTGGAAGTGGCGTATAATGGTTGGTTCTGATATTTAATCGATCAAAATTTTTCAGCAATAATGGCCAATCTGATGTTTCCAATTTAGCTATGGCTTCAGATGGCTTAATTTGGAAATCTCCTGATCTTTGTATCTCCCCCAAGTTCTCAATTTCTTCCTTCACCTTCTTTTTTTGTTTTTTCTTCTTCTCGACTATAATTAAATAGAAATTTTAACTTTAATCAACTGGTAATCTTATATGTAATCAATACTTACCGATTTCAGACATTGTTATGCTTCTTTTCACGCGCTTATCAAGTTTTTATTTATTCTGATTTAATGCCTGTTCGCTTTATTGTTTTCAACCATGCGGTAGTGGCTTGTTTATAAATAACGTTACGACAACTTTGCTATAAAAATATTTTCAAATTTTAAAAGATCGTTAAAAATAAGGAGTTTTAAAAATTAGTGATACTTCTCAATTGTGTCTTTTTAATGCTTAATCTTATCATGTTTATAATTCACTTTGATTTATTTTCAAATATTTTTGAAATTTTATTCGTAAAAACATTTTTTTTAACATTTTAATTGCACTTTATTGCATTTATTGACGACATACTGTCCGGAAATAATTCACATTTTACACTTTTTTGTATTTGTATACATATGAATTAATATTATGTAGGATCAAACTTCTAATCTTCATATCTAGGTTTCAAATAAACTAAGGCTCTCGTTTCGATCTTCTGTAGGCGTTACGTGATACTTTTCAGGTCCGTTCTATCAATATTCCATTCGTGGGTAATCTTGTAGCTCTCGTTCCTATTTCTCCCGCTACACTTCAAGTTCCAGACCCGTTCCTTAATCCAACGTTGCCCAAATGCCCAATTATGGCTTGATCTCGTACATTAAGCAGTCGAAGTATCTAAACTTCCGAAAAAGAACAAATTTGGAAATGGCTGGATTCGAACCGACGACCTTCGAGTTACCATCCCAAATTTGAGCCAAGCGCCTTACCTATTCGACCAGCAAGGCACTTAACTGCTTTTGAATATTTTAAAAGCTTTTTTTATAGCAAATGTGGAACGTTTTTATCAAATTCAAACTAGGTTCAAACATTAAATTGTATGGTCAATTCCATTGATGCAATTTTTTAAAAATTTCATTAATTATAGCGCATAGAAGATTTCAATAAGCACAGAAATGAAGATGTAAGTGCTTAACATTAGGCAATCAAAATACTTCAAAAAGCCGTTAAAATTTTAAGTTTCGAAAAAACGTTATATGTTTAATGAATATTTGAATTGTATTTCAATACGTGAGTAAGGCTGTTGATCGGAAACAAATGAGTATTAAAAATTATAGTTAAGAATATTTTATTTTTCACTTCTTCTCAATTTTTGATACAACATTAAATTCACAGGAATTTTTCTGTCCTTTACTGTGTCTTCTGTTAAAATAGGCATTTTATTTATGGTTTTCAGTTAAAACAAAAGCTATTCTGAATATTTTTTTTTTGAATCAATATCCTTTAATCCTTTGCTTCTCATAATTTGATAATGAATGAAAATTTGTTATTTTTTAGGCAAAAAAGAAATAATTATTTTTATGTTTTTTTTTATTTTTTAAATTATGTAAATGAACTCATTGATTAACGCAGTAAAAATCTGTTTTTAAAAAATCAGAAATTAATTTTTTTGTTGTAACTCCACTTGTCCTAGAACATATTCACTGTCTCATTCTCGCTCAATGCTATAATTATTATTTTTTTTTTCGTTAATTCATCAATTTTCATCATTTTCTATATATAAAACTTTTTTTAAGGATGAATGAGCTTTTAAGACTTTTTTTTATCTTTCTCAATTATGAATACTATTGATTGACTTGCAGAATACATTGTTCGCAATGATTCAACCCCCTCTCACTCTCAGTCACAAAATCTTAAAACAATTTTTGATATTACAGTGTCACACAACACCTCCAAAAAAGATTGACCAAGACAATGGAAAATCAGAAATTTTTCTAAGTAGGATCACTTTAAATGCTAAATTATTAACAAGATGTGCTTGATGACAGAAATCGCTAAACATGAACAGCTTTTTGAACGTGTTGAAAGTAAAGTAGTGTTACTCAAATTTTGCTCGATGACACACTAGTGAGTCGTCAAAAGATTCAACTATGAAACGAAAATCATGTCGACAAACTGAATACTAAATGTTTGAGTAGCACTGACTTTAAGGAAGCGTTATTGAATGGATAAAATTAAAATATTTCTGGTTGATCCTATCAGTAAAGAAGGTGTGGCGTTTTTAAATATTTAAGACACTGTACATTTTAAAGCTAAGCACGTGCAACTTCTTTAATCTCATTATTAAAACCAATAAGAGGTAAGTGTACATCTACTCACTTTTAAATATGATAATATCCATTTGAAGTCCAAAATTTGCTGTTTTAATGTTTTTCTCCATCGAAATTTGTGACAAAAAACCATTTTTTGAAGCAAGTCAAATGTTAAGATTATATCCACAAAAAGCTTAAAATAAACGATCCCAGACAAAATTTTCATCATAAATACCAACGATTAAAATTAACCTTACACTCCCACATCACACTTTTCCCTGTTTCGTGCCTTATCTTAATTTAAAGAGTTAAAAAATCTCAAAGCTCATCCTTCCTTGAATAAAATTATAACAATTATCTCCATAATTCTGTGTGTGTGTGTGTTCTCGCATTATTTAACGATGTCTAATTTACTCATTTATTCATCATTCTTCCCACATTTTAATAGAAAAACTTCTCTAGAAATTCCTATTTGAATTCTGATCATAATAAAAAAGTATAAAAATAATAAATTGAATAATTGATTTCATTAATAACGACGAAAAAAAAGGAGTAAGTTAATTAGAGAAAAAAAAGGAACCGAAATTTGGAGGACAGTACTTGCAATTCACTGGCCACACGCTTTAAGCAGTAATCACCATGGATAACTTACGAATATGAAATGAAAAATAATAACGAAATTAATTTAAAAAGGGATTTTTTTCCATAATAATATAAGACGATACTGCTACTGATCATCTCCAACTGCTTTCGTTCGTCCGTTCCCTTGTTTAATTGTAAATCTTGATCGACTTTTCAAAGATATTTAATTTAGTTGTTGGATAAGCGCTCTTGTTTGCATGATCTAGTCCTAAAAAGCAACGTTGACCCTCTTCTGGTCCTTGGAACTTTTCCAATATTACTTTATCGTTATCATCAACTGGATTAGCTGATTTATTTTGAATAATTGCCAATTTATATTTCTCCCACTCGTACTGTGATATACTTAATTTCTTTTGAATTCGATTTTTTACATCCTTATATGTCTCTTGATCGCATATTTTTATCAATAACGGTACACCAAAGGTCGTGAAGAGGTTCTTATGGAAATGAATTACCGGAACTAATGCCTCAACTTGATCATCAAGATTCATCTCATCCATCGGAATTTCCTCAATACGCAAAAACTTTTGCGTTGACGTTTGACTTGCCGATTCGCTATAAATTTGTAATTTATCTAACGAAGTCGTATCAGGTGGACTTGGCCATAGAAGCTTTGAGCTGTGCTGCTCACAAATGCGCAATTGTCGGGTACTGTTCTCGCTAAATTTTACAACCTTCGCTGCTTCCTCTAATAACGTCTTTACAGTTCCATTCTTGTGTGGATATAATGTCACTTCCTTCATGTCTTTCATATTCGGCAACAGGAACATGCACTTGAATGGTTTCTTATCTTCCAAGTCGTTGATGTTCATCGATAGTCTTTGATAGAATAAGAATCGTTTGCTATTTTTCGATTTACCTTGCAATAAATCCTTAAGCTGTCCATCAAATGATCCCGGAATTGCCGGGCCTGGCGTATCTTTGTAGTTGATGCTCTTAAAGAATTGAATCTCGTATGGATCTACGTTAATTCGCTGGCCAACGGCCTACAAAAGAGACGAGAATTTTATGAGTTTTAAGGAACAAAGCTACAAGTTAATTATTAAATCATTAATCCACAAATAGCATTCAAATGAAGCTAGTCCAGATGCACTTTATCAGATCAGAATTGAACGATTGAAGAGATTTATTTTGAGAGGAAATGGTTTGGCAATGATTCAGCAATTTTTTTGCAGTCTTTCTGTCTGATGTGTGCATCTTATTTTCAATAATAAAGACACAATGTATCAAGATTTGACAAAGAAGGACTTAAATAAATCCTGGATTAAAATAAATCTTAAATTTTTAATTTCTAGATTGATTTTTTAATCCCTAGATTAAAACTTATCGCACTCATTAAAATGAGTCATTTTTTGCAGAAACAAATTAAGTTATCAAAGAATAAATTTATAGAAATATAGCAATATAATCTGAGGACATACCTTAGCCATTTGATCATAAGTAGAGTTAAATGAAAGTTCAATAGTAAATCCATTATCATTTTGAATATTTTTATCGATGAAAGTGACATCAACGCGATATTGAAGATCGTTATAATAGTCAGCATAAGTCGGCAGTTCCAAATTCGGTAATTTCTCGGTACGTTCAAAAATCAATATTTCGCCGTTCTTAGCGATCGAGGATATTTGCAAGTTTGGATCAACCTTTGATTTATATTTATAAAAATCAAGTGCTGTGTCCGATGGAGTTCCAATTAATTTATTTAAATCTGGTGCCAAGTCTGTCAGCTTCTCATCATGTACGACAATTCGTGAGCCAACATATGTTAAGCTTTTATTAACTGGATCGTAATATTTGAAGAATACAAGAATGTGGACATTTGGTGCATATGGTGGTAATGAAGCACTTTCATTATCGGGCGGTGGCATTTCTAAATAAACTGTCCATGGATTATGATCACGCGACAAGTACGTAATTGGATTATTTAATGCATCGGGATCAGTTATGTCAACATGGAATAGTCCATTGGACAATAAATTTCCAGATGCCGAGTTATGGTGATACATTTGACTTCCGCCATGTCCCAAATAGGAGAATGACCATAAACGCATTTTTTGTGGTGGCACCTTAAATGTATTTTGTATCAATGAGACCAAATCGTTTAGTGTTGAGTTCTGTTTGACTTTAAAACATCGATAGTGTGCAATTTCGGGATTAAATAAGTCATTTGCATGATGACCATCAAAATAATCTTCAAGGATCACATTAACGTTAATATAATTTGATGCTTCATTTCGCTCCTTTCTTTTTGCTAATTCTAAACGCTTTTCTTCAGTTAACTTCTCATTCAGTTCCGATGGAATATCTTCTTCTGTGATATCCTGTAGAATTGTCTTCATCGCTGATTCGCGCACATAGACTAACATATAAGCATTTGTACAGTTTCGTACATTTAGCATGAAGTCGTCTTCAGTACCACCATAATTTTGATCAATTGCTGCGGTTTTTGGTACGGCAGATACAACGTCATCGTCAAATTTACACCAACTTCCATCGCCTCGTGGATTAATAAAGACTACATAATGACCACCGTGATTATCACCAGAATGAACGAGTACAGCATGAAGAATGTAATTTGCTGGTGTCTCTTCAGGCTTCTCGAGATACTTATCCAAATTGATTTTCTCTTGAAACTCAAAACGATCGTTAAACTTGACTGAGTTGTTAGTCATGGGGTCGTATTGGAATCGGAGCAAGTGTAAATGCAAAACGGGAGGTAATGATGCAAAAATGACACCCTTTTCGGCCTTCTGTAATCCATATTCGCCTGCATCATATTTATTCTCATCGTCGAGAATTTCCGTCGATACGTAATCTTCAAAAGACTCATAAACGTTCTTTTTCCCTTTAATATTTAATTGAATATCATAAAATGTCTCTGTTTTAGTGCTCTTGTAGCTGACGTGCTTGCACTTTATGTACGATATCATTTTGCCGGCAAACAGCTTCGGTATTGTCCCTTCAATGGAAGTTCCTGTGGAATTTTATAAAACATTAACTTTATTGCGTAACATAGAGTCGCTAGTTCTTACCTTTCATTTTGATCTCGAGCTTGTCGAGAAGGACACGGAGAAATTCTTGAACGTCGTGCTGCATAAACGAGTCTAATGTCTCCCAGCCAAAACTTTTTGTGAGTTTTTTGGTTCCAACAGGCTTATTGGAGAATTGCAGGTCATGAAAAACCCTCTGCAGAGCAAGTGCAACAGATTTACTGCTATCGTCAGCTTCTGTTGGCATTTTATAGACGGCTTTTCTGAGTTCATTTGTAAAGTAGAGTGTCTGTAACAGAGAATTCATATAGCACGTTGCTCCCTGATTCTTAAGGCCAACATATCCTGTTAATTTCTTTGAGTCCCAATATGCATTGTGCGGTGCCTCAGCCTGTACATGTACCTCAAGAATGATTGTATCATTCTGTATGTATCCCTTCTCAGCATCCAGAATGTCGGTAAACGATTGAAATGTCGAAAATCCCCAATCATTTTCTTTATTGTAAAAGACATGCTTAATCTTTCTCGAGACCGGCTGTATGTCTTTCTTGAAACTCAATAGACGGAGATCAGCTGTCGCTGAACAGTTCCAGTTTGAATCACAATCGGCATTACATTGGAGAAAAAATCCTAAACTTTTGTCCTTATCATTTGATGATCTTGGCATTGCCATTATTTTCCAGGGAAGTCCTCTCACGTAATGTGCTTCCGAAAGGATAGTCTCGGACATTTTACTGAAATTTTCAATTCTTAATTGAAACGTTGCTTCGCTTCGCAATTCATCCTCCATATTTTGGTCAGAGGGAGTAATGTCTAGTTAATAAACAATAAACAAACAAAACTTCATTATAAATCTGCTTATTAGAGACTTATTATACATGATAACTACTGGTTATACGTTTCGCAACAGTATTTCACGTAAAATAATTAAAATTTTCATACCTGGAGTTTCATTTTCTTCAGTCTCCATTTTTTCAATCATTTTTTCGAGCTTATTCCTTCTAATTCTATAAAAATTGGATGTCTCACACTACTAATAACAGGTAATTCGGTTCTGCCGTGCACAATATAGTGAAATTTGACTCGTTAATTAATGGATTTTCGCAATATAGTGATTCTTCTTTTGTTAATCAAAGAAGAGAAAAATAAAGTTGATTTTATATTTTACTCTGCTAAAAAGCGCTTTTTTGCAGCCGTGCTCGTGCTCCTTGGTAAAATTTCAAACCTCAAAAATACGTTAAACGAGAATAAAATTTTTTACAACTATTCTATCAATCCATATCATGTTACTGTTTTTCTTGCAATTTGTATTTGTTTTAGCAATTATGAAGCTTCTCACATGCTTACTTGAGCTGGTTATTGCTTATTTATCAATCTTTTTTGTGTACGTGCAAAAATGTAACAGAATTCGGAGATAAATTTTGAATTTTGTGGTTGTGCAAGAAAAATTTTGAAAAAAATTTTACCGTTGATGACTTTGACAAAAAATTTTTTAATTTAACTAGCTTTTACGTGATTGTTGTCATGCACAAGGAGTTATTTTGACTTTCTTGTGATGAATTGAGTTGTGATTTTTTAATGACCTGAAAAATAAGGCGAATTCAGCGACATCATTGAGTCAACATCCAGCAGCACTCTCATAAATCACATGCTGAAACATTAAGGCACAACACAATAGTTTTAAACTAACGTCTGGATTTTTTATTTACAAATAAACCGTTACAACATAAAATAATATATATTTAGACTTGAAATTTTTAGAATTTCCATTAATCAGAAAAGAGTTGAACAAAAATAGCATTAATTATAGTATGAAATAGCATTTGAATCTGAAAGATTATTTTAAACTTGATTATACATAATGTTTTTAAAAATTTGAGTGGTATAATTTTGATTATCATCTGTCTCTAATAACGAACATGACTCCATAAGCCAGAATTTTCATCTCGTCTGTAGTAAAGTGGTCGATTTTCTCTAAATACCGTGATTGCTGTTGAAAAGAATGAAGTTATTAGACTAAAAATGATTCATAATTGAAGCCATTACTAACCAGGGAACTGATTCTCTTGAATAAACTTTAAAGTAGCACGAACTTGCATAACAAAATGTGGTGGTTCAACGTCAGGTGTTGTTGAGAGATGCTGCAAAATGAACTCATCTGTTTGTGAAAGCCACAAGTCAACACCTCGTAAAGGCTCATAGTTGAATGGCCCAATTCGCAGCATTCCTAATTGCGAGTCATAAACATCGAGAACTGTGTGACCTCCCGTGAAGTGTCTTGCGGATCTTTAGGAATATAAAAAGGTTTATGAGATTAATTGAGTATATGGATATAAGATTTTAATCCAGCTAGATTTAAGCAGTCATACGAATAATTACCTCAAGCATAAATCTGGTCCTTTATCTGGGAATGTAGCTGTAATAAAGATTCAATTAAAATGATTCAAATTTAACAGCATTAAAATGCATACCAGGGAAAATTTCTCCAGTTCTAGTATTCACCCCAATTCCATAAATTATAGGCCAATTAATTTCTCCTCGTACTATTGTATTAACTTCTCCGATACATGCTTGTGTTAAATCAATTTCCATTGGATGTTTATGGAAGGATTCTGTAAATTAGATAAAAATCATTGACAAATTCAGAATTAAATCTTTTCAAATAAATTTCTCAATCATAGCATCATGTCACCCTTATATGCATTGAATAGGAAATAGAAGAAAAAAGGGTATCGTATCTGTAAAGGAATCACCCTCAATTCTATTTCCATTCCAGAAGAAGATTTGAATTTTAAAACAAATGTGCAATGATTAAACTTTTCAATGTAGAAGCATAACTCTTTTCCCAGGTAATTTGTGGGATATGGAACCGAGAAGTGCATGACAATTGTGGTCTGCTTTCTGGAAAGCTTTAGTATTGGGAAAGAAACTGTAAAACTATGTACTAAGATTTCATTGAAGATGTAATATGTAAAGAGACTTAATTTTTGAAATAAGGGTCAAAAGCATAGAGTACACTAGACATAATGTCCGTTAGCTATTCCTTGAGTTGCTGAACTATTTACAATTTCATTCAGACTGCTTTAAGATCAATCAGGTACAGAATAAATAGTACAACTCAAAATGCATTGGATTGCTCGGTTCCAAAAGTTCAATACTTAAAGGACATACATCTTCTCATCCATCTCTATTCAACTTTTGGACATTTGATTAATTTTTCAAATATCGAACTTTTTAGACAAATTACTTCCCATCACCCCATCCAAATCTCCCATATCTTACGTATCATTTCCTCTCATTTGTTTTAAGCTAACAAGAATGACACTAGCGTGAATGAAATTCATTGAAACATATTTTATCTCAATGAAGAAATCATTCATCAAAAGAAATCTAACGAGAATGAAATTAATTCAGAAAAAAATGGCAATTAATATCACTTAAAAAGATATTCTTTATTAGATTCTCTCTCTTTCTCACTTTCCCACTGTCTCTCGTATTTGTCCACAGCAAAGCACACAATTGTTCTTTTACAAATTGAATTAAAAATGAAGTAATTTTATTACTTCGTCATTTATATGGGGTCAATTAAATATTTTTTCTTCGTCTTTCTCGTCATCACTTTAACTCTTGTGTTCTTCTTAATATTATTGCTTGTGGTCAATAGACGAGCGTGACGAAAAGGGGTCGTTAGCCGATGATGTTTATTAACATTTAAAGGCCCAACTTCAATCCATTTTCTTAGAATTTTCATAAGGAAGGCTTATGAAACATAGCACAAAGCTCTAGCTTTGAATTAGTGTATATAATAACTATATGGTGTTATATAGTTTCAGAACTCGTACATACCTTAAGTTTAACAAAGATGTGGCTTGAAATAATTTAAGATGCAATTCTCTGCCTAAGAACCTAATTTTTCTTAAACCATGTCCTAGATTTAGGTTAAGACAATTTCTTTAATTCCAACTAATGTTCACATCATAAAGCAAATGACCCAAAAAACCAACAAAACATCAATTTCAAATATAGAATCACTAATAAATCGTTTGCTCTATCAGCCTCACACCCAAAAAATTTCATTCTAATTGACCAAATTGAATCAACACCCATTCACCCGAAAGATTTTACACGAAAATGACGGCTCTTAAATTGATTTAATAATTTTATGTGTTTTCGTGTTTAATGCTCATTTATTTATTTGTTTTGTCTTGCAGTGGAACTCATCCGCATAATGTTATTGTAAATGCTTTATGTTTTGTGCATATTAAGTATGTGTTAATTGAAATTCAATGTTTTTTAATCCTCGTGCCAATAAATTGGTATTTAAATGTTAAATGAGGAGGTATTAAGGGGGTTTAATGATTCTTGCTTGGATATAAGATCCATTGGATGTTTATCAAGTGATAAAAAAATCTGGAAAAGGATTGACTTCGGAGATCAGAATCTAGGGTTATTTGTAGTTCCTACTCTGGTCCCAGTAAAATTTTGTAAACATTCCAAAGTTGATAAAATCGATTTTTGATTCTGGAATAAAATTGAGCCGGAACTAATAAGCTTAGACTCGACTCTCATTCGATATACGCCAAGTACAAATACCAAGCAATCTTATCTGTTGTTTAGTAGGTAACATAGGAACTTAATAATAAATAAGAAACATATTCTTGTCACTTTCAAAATTCCCTTAGATCTCCACAACCACAATATAGCTTTTTATAACATAACATACCTACAATTCTATCCTAATACTTTTCTATCAACTGCTTTCAACAACCACGACTCCCCAAAAAATATAGTCAATTTAAATTCCATTTATCCACAATTGTTATGTTCGAAATTCAAATGCATTAATTTATTAAGATCGTAAATTGAGCATAGAACTGATTCCCGATTGCATTGATTTCTTGACCCATTCTCCATATATTTCTATCTCACATCTGTGTACGAGAGGAAAATTTCAATTTAATTAGAAATAGAAAGGAACTGAAGGGATATAAGGTTTCTTTCTACAAATCCGTATGTATATTTTGTGTGTGCATTTTAATTGAACTCCATCGGACAATGATTAAAAAAATACTTTTATAGAAATAATGGATAAATGGCATAAAGCTAAAGAATAGAATGAACACAAAAAAGACCAACCAGGAATTAAAGTTCATTGGAGAACATGAGATTTGTTAGAAGGATGATCAATTTGTATATGTATGGAAAAAATTGCTTTTTGCTGTTTATAATGAAGCTAATAAGACCTTGATAATATAATACTGGACATCATTAATTTCATCTATGCACATCCTTTCCTTTCTTGTAGCCCCAATATTGTACATGCTCTTTTTTCTGTGTCTCTTTAACAACCTCATAAAATACACTCATGTTAAAATTTATATATTTTTCAAGTCTTGTACGGATAATGCAGGAATAATATATTGACGTACATCTACGGACGTTTATTATGGATATAATTTTTTTTTGAGTTTGTAATCGGAAACTTTTGCTGATAATAATTTAATTTTTTTTAAAAAAAAATGATAATTACGTCAGTGACGCAGTGTCGGGTTGATAACGAGTGTAAGGCAGATTGAAGTTAAAATCTAGTCGTCTTGACTATACGTTTTGATACAAAATCAATCTAGAAGCTAAGGGTAAGGAGCTGATAGAAAATAGTCAAAGTATGTTAAATCAGCTCTAAGCACTTGCTTTAAGCTATTAGTGTTAGCAATAAAAATTATTTTATCAGTTTCATAGAGTGTTAAAGGACTAAGATTGAATAATATCAAGTTTGAGAAATTCATAGCTTATGATAGAAAAGTCAGCATGTTCAAAAACATAATCATCAAGATACTTACGCATAATATTACTGAATAAATCCTCTGCATAGCCTTGTGGATCTCGAAAACCACCAATCAATTGCAATTCAATTCTACCCTCAGGATATCCCAATGCAAGCTCTTGTACACGTGATACCATTGTCGATACAGCTTCATCTGTTCCACTGCCATCTAAATGAGCTAATGCGATAGCTCCTGAACCTATTTTGTGTTGTAGAAAATTAAAAATGTTGTATAATGTCTAATAATTTTGTGTCAATACAAACCAGAATGTCTAACAACAACAATTATACAACTGGTAGCATCATCCGAGCCGATAATATGAACATTTTTATCATGCGGTGCAATTGCAGCTAATTCACGTTGTGCAACGTAGAGCAATCCAACAGGCCCAACCTATTTTGCATAAATAAATGAATAGAGGAAATAATTAACATCTCAATTGGAAATAATCCTTTTGTCATGCATACTCACAGTTTTTGATGGAATTGACAATAATTGATTTGCCGTATCTCTATAAATCGGATGTTGCATGAATAATGAGTGTGTATCGAGTGGAATGCATTCATCTTGCAACACACCATTTAGAACTAACACCATGTCTGTAAAAATAAATATTATGTAATGTCTTGAGCCTCTATTTGGTTCAAGATTGAAAAACAATGTGATTGACATATTCCGCCCAAATGAAATTCTAAATTTAATAATATTATGTGTCATGTTATATCCTTTCTGTGTAAATGAAACAAAATTGTAGTAGTCAATGAAACAGCACGATTCAATTGAAACAAGAAAATAATGCAAAAAGTATAAATTCCAAAACAAATATATTGTTTAACACGCCAAAAAGAGAGAAATGAGATGAAGAAGGAGAAGTAATGTGAGTAGAACTAAGTGTGTGGCTGTTTTGAAAAGTGAGAATGACGCATTTTTTGAATTTTTGAGAAAATTTATTTTGATTTTAAAATATTGATTTTTTTTTGAAAATTATGAAAGAAGTTTTTAAATGACATGACATTGTGATTAATATTAGTTTAGTGATAAAGTTTACGAATAGAAAAGCAATATTTATTGGTTCCATTTAATTCTTTCTTCTATTCAATGAGATGTACTAAGGTATATAATATATCAGAATATATCGTAAGCATTCTTTATGTAAAATTATTGCATTTAAAAATCCAGAAGCATATTGAAGCCCATCAGATCATTTAAAAGTGATAAGCAATAGATCCACTATTATGTAGCCTTACAGTTAAGTTTTAGCACCTACAGATTCAGATATCAACTGACACATTCAGAAACTGGTTTCTCAGATTTACATCATTGAAGTGTGTCATAAAATATTTCGATTCGTAGAAAATTGGAATAAACGTAAATTTATAAGCAAGATATATAGATGTGCTCATACAAAAATATCGCAGTTTTTAAACGTCAAAAATTTGAATTTTCTAAAAACACTAACACTATAAAAGAAAATTTTTAATTTTTGTTTTGCAAAATTTTCAATTTTCTGTTAAGTTTTGTTGATACAGGAGTATTGCAAATGCTTTGCTTTAATTTAAAGAAACTGACTTAAGACAAATGTTGTTGCATCTGTCGATATTTAAATGAAAACTTGAAAATAGAAAATTTTAAAAATTTTTGTTTGTATAAGTACACAAAAAATAGTATGGTCGAGTATGGTCAAGTATACTCTGTATGAGCCCATCTATATATCTTGTTTATAAGAATCAGTTGATCATCAAAAATATGGGAAAATACGTTAAGCAAGAAGACCAAACTGATTGCAAACAGTTTCTCTTAAAAGATGCTAAAAGTAAACCACACACTTGCTATATTGTACATACAATATTTTGATTTATTATTTTAACACAGTATGAATCTGACGTATAGCATTGATGATCAGTGTTTTTTGCTCTTCTTTTATTTCTTTCTTTTCTCCTTCTCTCGGCATCCTATCTCACCAAATCAATTTGTACATAAGGCAAATAATCATTATTCCAACGAAAATTATATGAAAATCACATCATAAATCTTTCAGAACAACTTGGACTGGGATTACTTACCTAACAGAAAGTTAAATGTCTTATCGTTTCCAAAAAAATCGAGAGAGATTTCTTTTGAGATTTAAATGACAATTTGTACGACTAGTAAACTTTTTTTTGTTCTCTTATTTTTTACGATGCGACATAAATAATTTTATGTTGGCTTTCTTTTAATCAATTCAGCTATTCAATCACCATGTTATCTATAAATAAAAGTGACGAAAGAAATACTCATCAGTAATCCAAAAATATGTAAAGAATCTCGCCTATCAGTTAAAGCTTATTCAATACTTTTTCTTTTGTGTTCACAAAAAAATAATATAAAAGAACTTCAATGCTTCGTATTTAAATAATACTTGTTATCTATATCGCTCGAAATAATTTTTGTATTGGTTATCACAAAAAAAAAATATGAAAAAGCTGCGTCGCTGTTGTCATCGACTCTAGATGTAAATTTTATATAGTGATTGTTTAAAAATGACGTCAATTTATGGCATTCAAATCATTTTCGGATTTAGGTTATATTTTTAAGGTCTTTCCAGATATTTTGTAATAAGATTTGTATGTTAACTATATAAGATCATCCAGAATTAAGATTATTGGAACAAACGTTTCCTTTTCAAACTTTATAGCACAAAAGCGTGAAGGAACAGGCTTTAGAGACTAAATTCTCAGATATACTAGGTTTTAGAGTTGAAATTGAAATTTAAGTATATCCTTCAGCAGATTCTTGAATATGTATGCCTGTTTCTAGCAATATCTTTTATAATATATGAGCGAAACTCTGAGGTATGAATAATATTTGCCTATGACTAAGATTGACCTAAAAGCTTATGACTGGAGATGAAACCAAGGTAATCATGAACACCATAGCCATACAACCCCCTGAACAATCAGTAGACAGAACTTTTTAAGTAAAAAAACAATTCTATTGAATTCCGAATTATAAATTTAAATTAATTTCATTTTGTGTAATTTCAAAAAGGAAATAGAATTTTTTGTCAGTCAAATATCGACTAAATAAACACGTATCGTGGCAGGCGGGCAGTCAATAATGAAAAATGAATATATTGACAGCAGAACAAACAAAAATTTCTATGAAACTTTCTCACTGAACATCAATAATTAACTTTCCGTACACAAAACAAAATAAATCATAAACATAGTGATTTATTGTAGTAGATCAACCACTGTAAAAATCCATTATATACGTATGACTCATAAATAACAATTTTTATAGCAATTTTTATGCATTTAAAGAATGTAAATAAAGATGTGCGAACTTTAATAAAGAATTAAATTCTTTCCTTCTTTTTTGTAAGATAAGAGAGCCAGTAATGGTATTGTACACACTAGCTGCATAGTAAAGAAATTTAATTGTATACTTTTGTACGTATTATACCTCTATAAAAGTGCATCATTACGAAATTATAAGCTTTAGAAAAGTAAGAGATGAAAATAAAAATTCTTCTTCAAGGTTTTGAGCTGTTTTGAGTTGTGGCTATTTTTATGAGGGTTCCAAAGTATCGAATAGATGTTTTTCATGCATTCTATGTGTTTTATAGCTAAAAATCTCAAAACAAGAGTTTTGATTCTAAGATAATTTGATTTAAAGCAAGAAGATTTTTCTAAGTTTGTAGAACGAATGTAATACCTTTTGATCAATTCAGCTCCCTTGAAGTTTTCACGAATGTATAGAAATTTTTTTTATCAACAGAACTGTCTCAAATCTCCTACCTAGATCGATTTTCTCATAATACAACATGACACAGCTTCTCTCGATAGCTACTAATGTCATGTCATCCTATACTTCACAGTAGGGAATCCCTACCAGAACACACATATCAAACTATTCAACAATTTTCAACTGAAACAAAGTCGTGAAGACCAAAGTTGTGAGATAGAATGAGGTAAAGTAAAAAGAGTCGACTTCATGATCAATATGATCCAAAAAAGCACGTACAAAGAGTCAGATAGATATAGATGAACAATAATGCATCTCGCGAATGAAGAAGAAAAAGAAAAATCTTTTTTTCTAATGAATTGAATTTACGTGAAAAAGCTCAAATGTTATGGTTTAAATCTACATTCTTTTTCTCGACTTCTTCTTCTTCATCATCTTAATTTAACATGGCATAAAGCTGCATGTTTTTCTTTACATTTCTCATTTCATTGCCATTGTGGAACAACAGCAACACAAAAAAAGTGTAGAGAGAAAAGATCACTTCGAGTCATATCGTTCCTTTTTCATCCGCTCATAGTTACGGTTAGTGTGCTGTCTATCTGCCTTTACATTTTATTTTTCATACAGTCGATGGCATACAGCCTCTGTGATGAGTTTCAGAGTTAGTGTAGAGTTGTTTGCATTAGATTAGGATATTCTCACGTTAAGGCTATATTTTGAATATTGTCAATGACATCAGATGCACGTGTCATCTATCGAAGTCGACTAATGAATTTTTATTAAAACGTTCGGTAAAACTAAGCTTGTCCCAACTCTGGAAGATCTTGTATGAACAGACGAAAAAATAATTGTGTATTGACGTTTCTTAAACGTTCATTACCAGCATTTATCTTCTTTCTTATTCTATTTTTATTGCTATTGTTATTTATTGCTTCTTTGTTAGTCGCAATCATTCAGCACTTATGGTGATTTTTATTTGTATAATCTTCACATGTCTAATTACGGCATCTTGAACAATTTTCTTTTTTCTATCAAAAACTTAATAAAAAAATTTTATTGAACATTTTTAAACATTAACCTCGTCATTACAATCAATAATCCAGCAGTTTCTTTTCCTATTAAGCAACTTTTATTCATTTTTAAGGAGAGAAATTCTTTATGTGTTTCATACAAATTAATGTTGGGGCATAAAAAAGGCACTTGTGGTCTATGAGTCTGATTTTAAACCACAAGAAACACTTAATGTGGTAAAAAGAAAAATGATTAAAGTTACAAGCAATTTGCAACTATTTTGTTTAGCAATCAATGTTGTTCTTTTGTGCAGATAAAATGGTAATCTGTTGCCTCGCACGATATTTGTTTCAATTTTACTTGAGGAAAGATTCTTAATGCTATACAATAAGGGCAGTGAATTATACTTCTAAGCAATCTATCCATCAATTTCTAAAATAATTAGACTAAAATTTTGCAATATTGTGAAATAGGACTATAATTGTATGTGGTTTTGAGTGATTGCTTTGTGAACTGTGTAGACTTTGTTTCTATTTTTTCAAGATAGCTACAAGATATTCTAAGAATAAAACAACATTGAAGTTGTTTATTAAACTTCAGTTTGTTTTGTGAATTTTTCTATCTACTTGAATTTTCTGGTTTCTTAGGCTGACTCGGAACACTGTTTTTGGAATTTTGGTAATTTAAGTTATTAGATCGGCAAGGTATTGTTTAATTATTGTTTTTTATGAATTCTTAGGAAAAGTAAATTTAAGATCCTTAAAATTGAACAGATCTGATGATAAAGACTCATTGCAACCAATCTCATTGGAATCAAAAACTGTGTCATTTTATTTTAAATTCTTAGCTTTAATCCTGTTTGCAACCATTAGCATTACTAAGTGAAATTTATTAAAAACTTTCTCAATTACGCAATGATCTCGTCAAAGTGATCAAAAATTAAATATTTTTAACCTTAATCAATAAAAAATTTGATGTAATTTATGTAAATATCCCATTTTCACTCATTATTCAGAAAGCATTTAAAAGTAAATTGTTTAAAGTGGTTTCAAATGATTTTTTAATTAATTGAGTATTAGCGAGCATTATGAGAAATCCAGAGATTACAAATTTACATGACTCAGGCAAAATTTCTCACATTCTAGTTAAGTTTGCGGTTGCACATTTTTCTAAATAGCTTTATCATGAAAAAGATTCGTCTATGAACTAATTTGCTACCTTTATCAATGTGCTATTCTCACAGAAAGCCGCACATATAATTAAATACTATTACAACGGAATTTCCTAGTTCTAAATTGCTAGAGTATCACGGATAATTTAAGCTAGATGAACCCTATATAATCTACAATAAACATCGTCCATCTTCATTGTTCTTACAAATTTTGTTAAGCCATAATATATTCTTGTACTTCACGTAAAAGCGATAAAGTCATGCCAGTTAAAATCTCGTATATGTGTAATTTCAATCATGTTGCATTGCAAAAAAAAAATATAAGTAAAGAAGAGGAATGCTAAAAGCCACACAATTTTATTAATGCTCTCTCTCTGTGTTTTCTTTTGGGCATAATTTTAAACGCGCGAGCTCACTTATAAAACACATCTCTCGCTCATATCTCACATGTGAATTTATCATCGATATTCAATTCTGTTATGTTGAGTTATGAACATCATCATATCGAGTTATATTTTGCGACTAACCATTCATTCCGTCCAATACGTCTATCGATATTCGAGTCAATTGGACTTTTGGGGTTGATCGTAAGTGATGTCTCCAAAGTTTTTGTAATTTCGTTTTGATCAGAAGAAAGGGGTGATTTTCGACCTAATCACTTCTCTAGTACTGCGATACAGTAATGTGATATTCAATGAGGTTGGGTCTCCCAAAGCTTAAAACCCCACTTCCAATCGAGACCTTAATCTAATCCCAAATTATTGACCATCATAAACACACTACCCCGCTTAAAGAAGGCATTTTTATTGTTATCTGTCTATTATTATTTTCTTGCAATATGCTGATGAGAGTATAGATGGCTTTGAAATAAACAAATAGTTAAAATTAACGTGTAGCTTATGATGTACATTCCACTAGCATTATTATTACTATTTTTCTAGTCGTATACATAATATTTATATTTATTTGATTCTTTTTTATGATAGAAAGTTTTTTTTTGTTGTTCAAAAATAATGAATTTTTGTGCCAACACATATTTCACTATGAAGCTCGCGCGAGCATTAAAAAATATCTGCCTTGAGGGCTGAACTATCATCATTTATCATAATATGGCGAGATGATAGAAGAAAAAAATTGTGGTAAGGAAGTAGTAATGCGGTGTTTTTTTAAATAAATAGAGCGCATCTTTTTTTCCGGTTGATTAATGCAAGATTTTTGATGTTCAACTATGAAACTGTATATAGTCGTTCTCATTAGTGATTGTTGTGAATTTTTAATCACTGATCTTGTTTTAATTAATTTGTGTATTCCAAATTTTGTTTGTGTTTTAATTAAAAGCAATCTTTAATTTATCAAGCAGGTTTACAGTCGATTTGATTATCTTCAGTAAGAATAGCGACAGATGACATTTTTTTTAAAGATTATTAAGAATGCAATTTAAGAAATTAGTTTCCGAATTTGATTTAAAAAATTAATTTCAAAATTTGCAGTCGTAAGACATTAGCATCTTTACACCGTTTCAAAGCCATTTTGAGCAATAAGAAATTATAATGGTTTGATCCTTAATTAAGTAGTTATTAGTTGCCAAGGCTACATTAAACTATGTTTTTGAAAAGTGCCAAGCAAAACAGGGAAAAGCATAATTGTATAAGCGATAATATGCGGTTTGAGCGAATTGTGATATAATTTAGTTCTGGAATAATATTTAAAATCGCAAATCATAAATAGTTTTAAGCTGAACCAGCAATTACAGATTTCCCAAACCGCAAAAAAATAATAAATCTTTTGTTCAAAGCTCAAAACAAAGGATTAATGAAAATGTGAAGTCTTAAAATAAATACAAAACCCAAACTGTCATCCCAAAACCACTAAAACTGAGTCACAGCTGGAAAATACATATATTTACACAGAAGACTTATGATTATTCTAAGAAATAAAATGAAATTAAACAAAACAAAATTATTGAAATCTGTTGCCTGCCAAAAAAAAAAGTTCGATTATTGGAGTTTCATTCACAATTCACAAAGAACCTGAAAGCTAACGATGAAGTTTGACAACGTGATGTCTTGTCTCGTTAAAAATATAATAGATATTATTTAAGTAATGTTAATGAAAGAAAACCCATCATCATATTATTTATAGTTTGTACATTATATTCCTGTACATACACATGATTTTTTTTTTTAAATATTATTTTCGTCTTCTCTCTTTCTCAATTTTTTTAATATAATAACAATAATAAAGTAGTGCTTATCAACTTCATGACTAAATACATATACGATTTTATTCACATTTGTTGATGAAATGTATGATTTTAGCTCACTTCAGCTCATAACGCTTAATCAGCACTTTTTTTCCTTCTATCTAAATAATTTTCTTTCAATTACATCAATCACTTATTCAAATAGGCAATTTTTGTGTACTTATATGCATGTGTTTGATATTTACATTTACTTCTTACAATTAATAATACACGCGTTTCTTATTAATAGAATTTTAATTTTAAATGAAGTTTGATGGACACAGAGTTGTGATTCAGGTTGAATGCATTTGAGATATTTATGAAGGTTTGCTAGATTAGAGGGATGGATTAACATATGTTTAGTTTTGATTTGAGGGTAGAAATTATTGAGGATTGAATATAGTTTTGGTGGGTATTGGCAGGCTTAGGCAAATCACTGGTCTGGTTTTTAACTGTAAAGTGGAATAGCTTTATGTTTGGAGTCTAACATATTTTTAAGGGAAATGATAAGGCAAAAAATTCTTATACTAGGTACGATTAATGATAAGTTAAAATCCGTTAAAGAACTAAAATATACATCAAGTCTAGATATAATAAGTTTTTAAAAACTTTGGGACTAGAACTAAAGCATTATTGAAGATTTTATAGAAATGAAAGTGACTATATTATTTTAAGGTTTGTAAGATTTGATTTGTCTCTTAGTCAACAATCTTTATCGAAACCTATTAAGGATTTAAACCTTAAAGAACCCTAGATGTCACAACACGTGAGAAATTTCTTAAGTAATCTATTTATAAAAAAGACATGATTGCTTATCAAGAATGTGAATCATCTTTGAAGAAAAACTATGCTGAAGTATTATCAGCAGTTCTCACGTTTCTAACGACTGTATCTTTATGAAAAAAAAAAAATTGATAAGAGAGAATCCTGAATAGAAAAAGTGTGAAAAAAATTCCCATGAATTTTTTTTTTCTAGTCACAACAAAATCATTGAGGCAATGCCAAACAACCCTGATTAACAGTGTATCTATTAAAATCGCACTGTATCATTAGCCTCATTGCATATATCGTCGTAAAATATAATTCTATACAGTTATGCTATTTCAATAGTCTTCTTTTATCACATTACCTATTCTTAATGCTTAGTTCCCTGACAATAGTAATTGTATCATAGCTGATAATTCAATGCAAATTGCTTATGACATCCGCCGACACTTTACGAAAAATAATAAAGTAATCAATCTTATATTACATTCTGCTCCGGATGTTTTCCGCTCTTCCCTTTTTATTTCTTCATACGTGAACACTTTTAAACTTGTAATGAAATAATGTAACTTCTTTTGGACATAAAAATTAAATAAACTTTTATATTTTTTGGCTAAAGAAACAAGCAAAAAGAAATGAGAAGAGAATTCTCATCAAGTTCTCTACCGTACAAATATTTTTTGTGCATTATTCTTTCCTTTACAGTCATACGACTTCTTCCTTTTTTCCATAAAATAAAATAAAAATAAAAAAACAGATCGCGCAAGAAAAGGCAAGGAAAGGAATCTCTTTACATTACAATTCGCGTTATATGTGATATAATCTCATGTGCAACGTATGTATGTGCCGAGCATATAGTAGAAAATTTCACCAATGTCTTCTGATGACTTTACAGAAAATAAAATAATAATAATGCAACAATGCAAAGATGTGAAGAAAGAGGTGACTGAGATAGAGAGATGGACAGAAAAATTCCACAATTCATTATTCATTATGTGCACCGCAGCGGCGTAAGGGAAGGAAAAAAAAAACAAAACAAAATGCATTTAGTTCTTTTTTACGAGCTATAAAAATCTCAGTATTTTCTTTTGTGGGTACATTTTCCGACTGGTGGAATGTGGATGATTAAACGGTTTGGTTGGCCGGATCGGTGATTTTGTAAAGTCTTTTTTTGTTGTTTGTGGATTTTTATCAATTATTTCGAGGATGCAAATAAGACGTGTGAGTTTATTGGTTGACGTACTTTTTGAAGAATAAAATATTTAAGCACTTTTGGGTTGCGGTGTTCATTGAATTGGATTTGCATGGGTTTGAGTTCCAATAAATTTTGAAATTTCCTAAAATTTAATCAGCAATAAGATTTTGCGTGGTTCTCTTCTGAAGACATTTAAATAAAATAAAATTTTGCTGTTCAGACCTTAAGATCTAAAATTTTATATATTATGAGTTAAAGGCAGGTTATAGGTTTACAGGGCAGTCAGTTTAAGAAAAAAGTGTTCGAAAGTCTTCCAACTCAATGCTAGACTAGCAGTTTATGATCAGTTTTGTAATATGAAATTAAGGAAGTTCAAGAAATTAAATACTCTATGTGATTGATTTTAGCATAAACTTAGAAAATTTGTCTCAAATTTATAATAATTTTTTATGTTGATTTATTAAGAATTCAAGTTTAAAACAAATTATGGTACTTATAAAAAGGTTCTCAGACAAATATGTGAAATCTGGGAAATTTAAAAAACCTTTTCTGCTTTCTCGGATGCGTTCTTGAGAAATCTCAATATTCTCCGAAATATTAATAATTCTAAAGCGAATGTTTTTAACATAAAATGCATAATAAATTAAGCTACAAACGTCACTGATTGCAGAAATGTGAAACTATTAAATACTAGTTTGGTTTTTTGACAATCATGAAATTTTAATATTTCTTATGAAATTATTGAAAATTATACAAATCTGATTAACATTTCATATCTGGTTCCAAGCCTTTGGATTTAATTTAAAGTCTACTTAGAACATTCCCAAATCTTGCTCAAATCTTATTTCTAAACTTAAAATTAAAGAATAAAAGTTCATTCTCGATGAAAAAATATTGCGCTTAATTCACTCGATTGAATCGCAAAAAGAAATTTTCAAACTAATTTCTTAAGCAAAGATTTGTATCAACAAACAATTTCATCCAGAAGAAAGATGTAAATTCATCACCATCGAACACAAATCATCCGCTTTGTCTTATCATTTAATTTTTTATTTTCATTATTTGAAAATAAAATTATACAAAAAAAAATTATAGTCATGAAAATAAAAATACGTAAAAAAAAGATTGAAAATAATTCATTCGTCTCGATAATGTCATGTTAAACCAAAGTGAATATAAATATAAAATTTTAATTTAATTATTTCCTTTTTGTTCTGATTACTGAATATTTTTGACGTACCTATTTCGTATTTGCGAGTAAAATAACTTCACTTAAAAAAATTTGATTCTTTTATTTTCTGTTTTTGTATAAATTTTATTTTTATATATTTTTTTATTTTTTAATTCAAACCACCAATCAAGTCAACAAAACTGAACACGAGGAAAGACGGCAAACAACTGACATAAAGTCATTTGACTAGACTTTTTTCTTCACTCATTTCTACTCAAAATAAAATAAGTTGATGCGATTCACAAATACCCATATAGACACATCCACACATCGTGTACGTTGTGAGAACTTTTTGTACTGGAGACGATATGAATGTATATATAAAAGAGAAGGAATGAACAAGAACAATAATTGAGATTGGTCATTTTAAGCAGGAATTAAAAAAAATTATATGCGAAATATTTTCTCTCAAAAGTCTTCTCGACTCTTTTCCTCTCTTCTTGATGCTTTGCTTTTTTTTGCGTTCTGCTGATGAAGAATATACACAGAACCACGCATTGTGGCTTCAACTCGGTCAATTTGTTAACAAAATAAGAAGTACAAGAATAAGAGAAAAAAGAGAAAGAGAAGAGAAAAATTACACAATAAAGCACCAACCAGTCAGCATGTATATCTTATAAGATCACAAAAATTCATGCAAAACCAGTTTGCAGGACGAATTGTTCTCACAAAAAGTTAAATGAAAAATTGTGGATTATCTCTCTTTATGCCACAATATTTTGCCCTAAAACTCCAAGCTACAGAACGATAAGACTAAAGAAGAAAGAACTGTTAATTATATATGTTTCACTTTCGTGACTGATTTATGTTATCAGTTTTCAGATAATTTCAATTTTCTCCGTGCATCGTGTTACAGATATGTGGATTTACTTCGCAAGAATTCATTCTTTTTATGAACGAAAAAAAAAAATATAAATTCTTTCTGTCGATAATTCTTCTTATATTCTGTTCTTAACTGATCGTTTTTATTTCATCATTTGCTGCTTTCTTCTCTTGTTGATGAATTATTGCTGTCACATACAACATGTAATTATTATTAACATCATCGCTTTATTGCTGTTATTCGGGGGGAAGCTTTTAAAAAAAAATTAAGATTATAAAATGCTTAGTGTGATCATGTATTGATATTACTCAGAAATGAGCAACAAATTTACGACAATTGAAGTGGACTTTAGCTGCTGTTGGGAAGATTGATTTTTAAAATGTTAATTCACACTCAAATTATCATTTGATCTATCAAGTTATGAACACTAAAATTCTTCTTAATTGAATATTTTCATTAGAGCTAATTAAAGCGCCACTATAATATACTGTTAGATGTAGTATCTTGTTATTACTAGAGAAAAAAAAATTATAATGCAAAACACAGTTGAATTTTTAAGCAAAACCTAGTTGAAATAAGTTATCTTATTTTCTAAACAATTTGAAGAAGTTCATAAACTGTTTAAATATTTACACTAAGTTATTAAGAGAGTAGCGAGCTACTTCTGCTTAATTCCCAATCTAAAATACTTTTAAGTTGCTAAAATCAGATTTAAAAACAAGAATCTCCTACATTAAATAAGTTTCCGTCAAAACTATCGCCATCTCCATCATTAATATCTTGTTATACAATTTTCAACAAGATTTTTACAATTCATAAACAAATAGAGCAACAAAACAAATAGAATACTGTATGTTTATAGCACACTTATGACTTTATTTGCATTAGCACGAATAATCATAATCGTAAAATATTACAATTACATTTAATATCATAGAATAGAGACTAGAGGTGATTTGAATAAAGATTAAAGGTGAAATTTCACATATATTGCGTGTGTCTGTGTTTATACTTTATATCAAATGACATTATTTTCCTAGCGTATGACTATAAAATGCAATTAAATGTAAAGCTCATGATCTAGTCGAGTTCACCTTAAAGTCAGGCTAAGAAATCTCAGCTTTCTATGTTGTGCAATATTTTTTTTTCGCAACTATTTTTCTTCCTCTCTTTTTTCATGCTTCTCATTCTTAGAATTTAGCGACAATCGTGCACAGCACCACAGTCGAGGAACGAAAATATAAAAAAAAAACAGAAGAATGAAAATTGATCTGATAAGATACAAAAGTTCTGCTGAATTGCAATCGTCGAAATGAGTAACAAAATCCCATCCAAAAGCAGAGAGAACATAGTGAAAGAAAGAAACTAGAAAATTCACGACTATAAAGCCATGTTAATCGGCAACAAAGGAATTTGTAATGAGTCGAGTTACAGTGAAGGGAATAAAGAGAATGGAAGCAAATAAATAAATCATAGAGGAAGTTCTTATAGAGCAACAATGCTTAAAGCTAAAATTTTCTTTTTTTATTGCAAATCTTTCGCTGAAATCTTCAATTTTATAAAGTCATTCGTAATAATAATGTGCTGTATTATATTTTATTTGAAGCATGAACTTTTACTGTCCACATTAGCCACGGTATTAAAATTGAATCATTTTTTTTTGCAGTTTATAAGATAGATGAGAATATAAAAGTGCATTTCTGCATAGAATATTAATAATATTCGTCTTATTTATTAAAACGTCATGATTCTCATTGAGCTAAAATGGTAATAATACTAATAAATTGTAGTTGAGATCTTAATTTGCATTATTACAATCGTCATTTATCAGCATATCGGCACGGCATCGTTCGCAAACTTACAAGAGAATTGTAATCCGTGAAAAATTGATAGGTTAAATAGTTCTTCTTATGGTTGCATCAAACTGGAAAATATTTTCGTCCACAAATATCGAATAGAGCGCATTTAGCTAATGTGGTCTTAATTCTTGAATATTAAGCTTTGGATGGTTCTTTTGTTGCTGAAATTGTTTTCTTTAATTAACTAGGATAACTACCTAATGATGGGGTGACAATGAATTGACTTTGTGATCTATATTCTATTACTTTATTATTGTTAATTCAATAGGAATTTCGATAGATTAATCAGATTCATATATCAGTAATTCATGGCTAATCAACTCTTATCATTATATTGCATTTTGAAATTTAAACCTTTTTAGGTGTGTAATTATTTATTATGATATGCCTATATATTCTTATCTAAAATGAAATGAGTCTAAGGTTTTTGTTTGAAGCTGATTTAATTACCAATCTTTACTTAGGGTTAAATTTATCTTTGTAATAATTCAATACTAGTTCAAATATAGTTTGAAGATTCAATAATTTGTTCTAGATCGAAAGTAGGGACCGACTAGCATATTTGATAAAGCGGTCTGTTGATTACTTTGAAAAGATATGTATCCATGCAAATGGATAAACCGCATAATATTCAGTAATTCTTGTTGCGAAAATTGAGCATATTTTCATAAATATTATAATATCGGACTGTATCATGTTTTGCACATAAGAACATATGATTTGATTGATATTGTTAGAAATAGCTAGATCGTGATAAACTCGCCAAAGAGCATAGTGTTAAAGATTAGATATTACAGAGTTTCCGTGATAATTTAGTTAATGCATTTCTATGCATATGAATAATAAGGCACTGATAGGATATGTTCTTTCATGGACATTTTCTTTAAATTGATTTTTGTGGTTTACAGCTGATTTCCTATTGATTTTTATTATAAATTCTCTTCTGATGTTAATTTCTTACCTTTTTTATTTTTAAATTAAATATGCTAATATTATGCAGTCTTTATGTCCTTCGATTTTTTTGGTTCCATAAATTTTGTCACTTCCGGTGAATATTATTTAATTGATTTTATTAGGTTTCTGTTCTATACAACTCTTCTTTACATCCTATCACACGTTTTAAATCACTTGATTAGTCTTTAAATTCTCTTAGATTACAGTTTAATGCACAATAAATATCACTTCTAGCTACTAAGCAATATATGTAGATGATCAGCAGGTAAATATTTACATGCTAACATCAAGTAGTGTAGAAACGACAACAAGCTCCATTTGATTCTTCGCGCCTTTTTTACTTCCAACGACCAAAACATTTATGTAGTGACAATTCATAACTCAGCATAAAGTAGTCGTAAAAATGGCTTTATGTTTCGAAAAATTCTTATCTGACAAAGCTACAAAAAGAAGAACTCGTAACTCCATCAGCAGGCACAACATAATCATCAAAGACATCAAGGATGAAGAAATAATCTGCGAATTTAATGAACAATCAGAAGTAATCGTGAAAGTTATTGAAAAAGAAGTACAGACTGCATCATGTAGTTCCTGTGAGAAATTTTGCGAGCATCAAGAGATAACTGTAAGATTTCTAGCAAGTCATACATCTTTAAAGAGGAAAATTGACGATGACGATAATTCTAGTGACGAAGTTGATAACGTTAAAAGAATTAAGCTATCAGAGAATGAAGAAAACAGTCCAGCTGTGGCTAATACAGTAAAATATCCTGAAATAAAAATATCAAAAAAGAAGAAGAAATCAAACCTTACTGAAAAGCAGCTTGAAGAGATTAATAAAGTTGGTGACAAGCTGAGAATTGACAATTTGATAAAATCCTTTGGCAAAAAAGGAAGCTACAATGAGTTCTATAAACACTGTGCTAAAATCATGTCTGAAAACATGGATCTTATAAAATTAGCTAATAAGTTGACAATCGAGCAGGCTGATACAGATTTATGGCACCAATTGAGAGTTGGGCGAGTAACAGCAAGTCGATTGTATGAGACAACAAAATGTACTGTTAAAAATGGAAGTTTGGTTGATAAATTTCTTGGAAAATCATCAGGCTGGTCATTTATGATGATGAGAGGAACTGTATTGGAAGAATATGTCTTTAAGGAAGTCCAGAAAGAATATCCAACATTAAAGCAATGTGGTCTAATCATGTGTCATAAAGTGCATCCATTATTTGCAGCATCGCCTGACGGCTTACATGAGGACTTTGTGCTTGAAATAAAATGTCCAGGAACTGCAAACACTTTTCAGCAATACACAAATCTTGACAAGCTTAATAAAAAGTATTTTGCACAGATCCAACTGCAAATGTTTGTGACTGGAAAGAGAAAGGCACTGCTGGCTGTAGCATCACTTGATTTTGAGACAACAAGAAAGATAACAAAACTGTGGATTGAATATGATGAAGAATATACAACACAAATGATTACGGATGCATCTGAATTTTATGAGCAGGCTGTTTATCCTGCCTTAAAACGTAAATTTTTACATTAAAACTTTTTTATACCTCAACTTGACTCTTTTTGGAACTACCTAAATAAATTAATGTTCTTTTTGCTTGTTATCAAATAAACTTAATCATCCATTGATACTTCCAAAACAGCACCAGAGTAGGCAAGATCCCAAAGATGCTCACAATGATGCTTTTGAAATAATTCCCTTACTGACTTTTCCATTGGAAATTGTCTGAATTTAATCTCACCAAAAGATCTTTTTGGAGCCTTTCCTTCCCAAACTAGCTTACAGGAATTTGCTTCCTCCTTATTGTCAACTGTATCGTCATACGTCCTGACAATATCTTCTTCCCATTTTATTCTGTGCATCATTAAACGACGATACTTTTTCTGTTGTTTCGGACCGCCTTCAACAACCACAACACAGCAGTCACGAAATATGATGACAATTCCAGTCATGAACAGCTGCTTGGCATTTGTTTCAATTTTAAACTTTTTAGCCTGATTACTTAGGTCTTTAATTCTATAGACAGAGACATTGACTCCCATTGATGTATCTTCCTTTAATTTCTTAATTTTCTTTTCACGTCGTTGCTCGTCTGTTAACTTTCTTGACTGATTATCCTCTTCATGTGCTTTTTGACGTTTAAGCATCTGCTCTCTGACGTGAGCTTCAATTTTTGTTGGATCTTGAACAGCTTCCGTTCCTAGAACACGCATGAGATTGGAAATTTTAAGTTTTGGTTCTGGTGGATCGATAAGTCCGAGACGAATTTTTTCTTGTTCCTCTTTCCATGCTTCACGTCTATTTTGTCGTCTTAACTTTTTACGTTCTTTTGGAGTTAAGAATACTGGCAAATAAGCTGATCTTAGTGGCTCATTCATTGGTCTTATTTGTACTGGATGTTCAATAAGATTCGTGATGGCTTTAGTTCTAATCTGGATCTTTTTATCAATGATTTTATTATAGTCATCAGTAATGACTGAATCCCACCATTCAATATGAGGAACTTCATCGCTATGGACATCAGTTTTTGGGGCAATTAAAGCGAGTTTTGTGGCACTGCTTATTCCTGTCTTTCGAGCAATTTGTGAGATTTCATTTTGTAGCTTTTCCATTTGAGCTTTCATTCTCATTTGTTCAGCCATTAACTCGAACTTTCCAGGCTCGTGGAATCGAAGTGCTCTTTTACCTCTAATTGCTGGTTTTATAGCTAGACGTTCATCAAAATATGACAATTCTGCTGTCCTGGCTTCATCTGCAACTTTTTCAGCTTGTTGATGTTTAAAGTTTTCCTTCTTTTTGGCACGAATGTTTGCTTTTAATGTTGGCGTTAATGTCTGGATGTTAATTTCTCGTCCACTAGTGTCTACTGTTCTTCCTTCAGAATCTAAAATCAATGGTCTTGGCTTGTCTGATGGTTTTATAGGAATAGCATTACTTGGGGTTGCAATTCCACTCAAAGTGCCTGCAAGCTTAGCCTGAATCTGCTTCTGTAACTCAGCAATCCTTCGTTGTCTCTCGTCGGAATTCATGTCAAGGACATTAGATGCATCTGTATTGTCTGGCGGGATGCCACTATTGAGTTTCATAGCTTCTAGCTTTCTTTTACGCTCCTCAATCTGTTTCTGTGCATTTTCCATCATTTGTTTGATCTGAACTGATGTCAAGTTTGCACCGATTTCACTGCCATTATTGGAAGCAGAAATTTGATGATCAGTTTTTTGCTTTTTATTATCCCTAGTTCCCTCATCATCATTTGATCTCTTTTTAGCTTTTGATGAATCCCTTCCAAAATCAAAAATTGTGTCAAGTTTGTCTACAAGCTTCATTGCCTTCTTTTCTTCAGTTATAGATGCTAATTTCTTAAAGAATTTTTCTTTGTCATATCCGTGATTTAGACCTCTTTCAAATATTGCCATAACTTTGTCATCAGCTGTGCCAACTACTCGTGCAACCATTTTCTCCAGACTTGGTCGCAGTTCCTCAATTTCACTTTTTGATAAATTCATGGTTAAAATTTTCGTGTTTAAACGTTTACTGAAAATACATAAAAATGTCACTTTAATTATTTACTTATCGATGGATAATAGCTTATATGTAGAGAACAAGTTCAAATAAGACGGCATTATCATTAAAACAAGCAGATATTTTGAATTTTTGTGAAAGTTTAATTAAAAATATTATATTTTGATATTTCGCAAATTTTAAGAGCTATTTGTGTATACCTGTTATCTAAAACTATCCAACGTTGTCTTATGCTTCGTACTAGTTTAACTATTTAATTATATTACCAGCCTTTTTGTGAAAAAATAAAGAAATTGAGAAAATTTATTGAATGTTTACATGGATTAATCCATCGGATTAAAAATTGGTTTAAGTTAAATCCTTGTGATTTCATTTTGAATTTTAAACAACCGTTATGAGCAGTTTAATAAAGTTGCAGCAGAAACTGAGAAACTTGCAATTTGGATGTATGTGCTGATACTTATAGTGATAGCAATGTATTATAATATGATTAAGGTCTTTTAGGGCATAGATTTTGAGAACGAATTGGATATTAGGTACTAGAGCATTAATTTCAGGATTATCATGAACAAAAAGCAGTATTAATGGCAAAATATTGCTTATCATTAATTAATTATCCTTAAATGATGGTGTGAGATACCGTTTAATAAAAGAGGTGTCATCATATAAAGTTTATCATGATTTACAAACTGTTTGCCTTGACTTCGCATCTTGTTTTCTTCTAAAAACGTACTTTTGATGTGTACAGGAAATATATCCTGATTTATGAGTTTAATGTGCAAATTCACTTTCATTTTACCTCTTCAAAAGTCACGTTGGCAAAAGTCTCAAAGAATCAAACTATTTAGCTTGATCTGCATTTGTTGAATGGATATTAAGATTTATTTGAACAAAGTTCATATCTGATCTAACTTAATCGAAGTGTCGACAAAACCAAAAATTAAGCAGATGCATAAAACTTTACGTCGCATAATTGGGTGACTTATCGACACCTATCATTGCCATCCAAAATATTCCAGATAATTCGTAACTTATTTTAAAATCAATGATTATGTTCATAAACATGTAAATCAGGTAGCATCTAGTGTGAACGAGTTTTAAATCAAATTAAAAACACATTACAGACATATTTAAATTTCACATCGAACATCCATCAAATGAACGGTAAATCTGCTCAAAAACAGTTCCAAAATGACCATATCAGTGGAAAGCAATCATGTGCAATTTTACCAAAACTTGCATCATGTAAAGGCACAAAAAAAGTTAATAAATATTCATATTGTCACATCGTTTCCGACTAATTGATAGCGATCGATCGTATTCTTGTAGCACAGTTTTTAAGAGAAACTTTTAATCGAGGCGACATCCAATAAACAACCAAAATATATCCCAAAAAGACAACATCTATGAAGCATATCAGACTCAGCAATCGGAAAGAAAGTGAAATTAAGATGATGAAATTATGCTAATTTGCAGGTCTGAAGTTAATCATTAATGCTCTCATGGGTTTGATGGAGATGATGTCTAATTATTTGAGGGTTGGATAGATGGAAGTAGGTCGACTTCTGAAAACCAAATATTGATTATTGGACTTGTGACAAGAGTAAGTGCTCATGTAGTCTAAGGATTCAGTTTAAACAAATTGCTTATTTAAAGGGAGGTTGTCTTGAATTTCTTGAGTAGGTCAGTCTCGTCAAATTTCCCTCAGACATCATTTAGGGAGAGTCTCCTTTTATGATGTGCAATCACATGATCGATAATGATCAATCGAGAGGAAAAGCAGGAAAGAGAATAAGTAAAAGATTCTGGTTCATCTGTGATGAAATTGCGAGTAACATAGAATCTGTAATCGTTTATGAATGGAATGATAGTAATACACATCAGTATTATGGTAATAAAAATTGCATTTTGTCTCGGACTTGAAAGAAAAGAAAAAAATTTCCTGAAATGAGCAGCACGATCTATATATTCAATAATATGTTTTGCATAATTTTTTTGTATCTTCCATCGAATCAGTCTCACTTTCTCAGATACCATGCCTCGCTCCGTAGTGGTTAATGACTGTTATTTTTATTTTTATTCTTCATGGATTTTTCAATAAATATCGGGAAATATTCAGAAATCCATTTCAGTTTTTGTTCAACTGTTGAAGTGATATAAAGTGTTGACAGCTCGTGCTTAGTGAAAAATAAAATAAAAAGACTTTGAAGAAATTGTGCGTATGTGACTTTTGAGAGATATTTCAAAAAGTGATTGAAAATTTTGTGCTAATGCGAGAATTAGTTTTATAAAAAGAAGCAAAGAAGATATTAAGAATGGATATAAATGAGTTTCGTGAATTCGGACATGCTGCCATAGAGTTTTTGATTGAATATTTGGAAACTATTCGTGATCGGTTAGTGAAATTAGAAATATTGTGGACAATTTATGAAATATGCTTATGGTTATCTAACTTGTTCCTTAACATGATCGATAGACTAAGTTTTTGGCTAGTGAATCTGACTACTTATTTCAACCTCACACTTAATTGCCATAATTTTTTGCACTAAGAAGAAATTCTCAGGACATCCACTACCTTCTCTCCCCAAAAACCCCCAAAAAACTAAAAATTTAAAGATAACCTTACATAGCTTACCGAGCTTACCATCTTTAAAGTGACCCAAATAATACTCAAAAATTCTAATTCTCGATATCTAGGCCAGTGCTTCCAGATGTACAACCAGGATTCCTACAAGAACATATGCCTTCAGAAATGCCAGAACAACCAGAAAGTTGGCAAGAGATTATGGAAGATTTGAAAAAATACATAGTTCCTGGTCTCACACACTGGCAATCGCCACGTTTTCATGCATTTTATCCCTCGCAAACATCATTTCCTTCAATCATTGGAGAAATGCTCACAGCTGGAATTGGTAGGTCACGAGTTTTTGCGATTTAAATTTCTTAATTGACTTTCATTCATCTTCTTTATCTTTTACTTTATTAGGTGTTGTTGGATTTAATTGGGTATGCATAATCTGAAATCGTTTAAGATGTAAATTTTTTTGGGCATCTTCTCAATGAAAGATCTTTTTGATGTCTTTATTTTATTGATCCGCGAACGCGTGTCATAAAATTGATATCCAATAGGTTAATAGAGAAATTGAGCCAGATTATCTTACATTCCTGTATATAGCTTTAACATAATTTATTTTAATGTTCTGCAGATGTGTAGTCCCGCTGCTACTGAGCTAGAAGTGATTGTTATGGATTGGCTTGGAAAGTTTTTAAATCTTCCAGAACATTTCTTGCCGAGCGGTAAAGGAAATGGAGGTGGTATTATTCAAGGAAGTGCTAGTGAATCTATCCTTGTTGCTGTTCTTGCTGCTCGTGAAGAAAAGGTCCGTGAAATGAAGATTAAACGACCAGATCTCTCAGAAAGTGATGTTCGTTCTAAGCTTGTTGGATATGGTTCAATACACTCGAATAGTGCCATTGAGAAGTCAGGCTTGCTTTCAGCTACAAAAATAAGATTGCTAGATGCAGATGATACGTCTATTTTACGAGGAGAAACCGTTCAAAAGGCAATTGAAGATGACATTGCTAATGGTTTGATTCCATTTGTTTGCATCACAACGATCGGAACGACAGGAACGTGTGCATTCGATAACATGGAAGAAATCGGTCCCATACTTAAGAAATATAACGTTTGGATGCATATCGGTGTGTATTTTGCATAATTTTACAATTAATGCCGCAATAATTTCATTCATTTTACGCATTAACATGATTATAAATATTTATTTTCGTTTCTTCTTCTTCCCAGATGCGGCATACGCCGGAGCAGCATTTTGTTTGCCTGAGTATGCACACATAAAGAAAGGTGCAGAATATGGTGATTCAATTAATTTTAATTTACATAAATGGATGCTCGTAAATTTCGATTGTGCCGCTATGTGGATTAAAGATGCTGCAAAATTGACTAAATCATTCAATGTCGAGCGTATATACTTGGATCATAAATATCAAGGTGAATCAAAAGCTCCAGATTATCGTCACTGGCAGTTGGCACTTGGTCGTCGATTCCGTTCTTTAAGAGTATGGATTACATTCAGAACATATGGTCAAGAATATATCAGAAATTATCTTCGAAAGCATATAAACCTTGCTGGTATGTTCTTGAATTATGTAAACAAGGATGATCGTTTTGAAGAAACAGGTCAATCTCTTGCACTAGCTTACTTCCGTCTTAAGGGAGACGATTCTCTCACGCGTAAATTATTAGACAGAATTAACACTCGTAGAAATATTTACTTGATTCCTGCATTCTATCACAACAAAGTCATTATCAGATTTGTCATTTGTGGTTTAGATCCACAAGAAAAGGATATTGACTATGCATGGAATGAGGTCAAAACAGTAACAGATGAGTTGCTGGCTGAAATGGAAGCAGAAAAAAATAAAATTCCTGCAATCAATGAAATTGAAGCTGAAATTGAAAATCTCGAGATCACAGATAAAGTCAATGTAATCACCGAAAATTTCGCTAAGAGCATTACACTTTGTGAAGAGAAGACAGTTCATTAAGTGGCTATAGTTTCTGTAAGATATATCATGATGAGAGCTTTTTCGTACGTTTTATTATAGTTTGGGGTGTAAAAGCTTCAAAAGCTTAAAAAAACTTTAAAAGCTTAATAAAGTTTTGAAAAAGCTCATTTTAAATTATTTTTTGTTTCTTTTTTTAACCGTATTTAATAAATAAATACAAGCCACAGTTTCTTTTGACGATGCTGTAAAATTTTATTATCCATTTCTTTATAAATTCGTGTGTAAATCAATTAAAAATAAAGATTACATCTTTAACATAAGAGAAGAAATTTCTCTTAAACAAATTGGCCCCATTATTCAATTTTAACTTATTTTTTTTGTTCTTTTAAAACTTCTGTTGCAGCTTCACTGACCTCATTCCATGAGATATCCATATCTTCAGGACGGGTGAAACGTGAACAAACAGCCATACGCAAAAAGTATGTGTCATTAACTTTTGAAGGAACAAGATGAATTTTGCCACGTCCATTAATTCTTTTAAGGAGTGCTTCGCTAATTTCATTAGCACCTTTGAGACGGAAACATACTAAGCCCATTTGAACTTTTGAGAAGATTTCGAATCGTTCATCCTTTTTGCAACTTTCTTCGAACTGATTTGCAAATCCAATGTGACGACGAATATGTGTCTGTAAGTTTTCAACACCATAAAGTCTAAGAACGAACCACAATTTCAATGCTCTGAATCTTCTGCCTAATGGAATTTGCCAGTGTCTGTAGTCAGGTGCAGATCCTTGTTGGTCATGTTTAAGATACAATGGATCGACATTGAAAGCATTAACAACCCAATTTGGATCCTTTAACCACATAGCACTGCAGTCAAAATTAACCAACATCCATTTGTGTGGATTGAAGTTGAATGAGTCAGCAGTTTCAATTCCTTTCATTAAAGGTCTATACTCAGGGCAGATAAAAGCACTTCCGGCATAAGCAGCATCAACATGAATCCAAACATTATGACGATTTCCGACTGGTCCAAGTTCATCCAATCGATCGAATGCGCAGGTGTTTGTGGTTCCTAATGTAGCTACAGCGTAGAATGGAATAAGACCTTCATCCAAATCTTTTTTGATTGCTTCTTCCAATGTTTCTCCTCTCAATTGTAAATTGTCATCAGCCTTCAAACTTCTCATACGAACTCCACCTAAAAGTCCAGCGCGCTCAACTGAGGAATGTGCTTGGTCTAGAATTAAGATATGCAAATTAGATACCTGCTTAAAAATAATCAGGATAAAACCACTCACTTGAGCTGTAAGCAATCAATTTAGAAACGATTGTGTTGTCGTCCCAATCAGGATGTTCTGCCTTAACTCTTTGAATTGTTTTTGCCTTAGCTCCGAGTAAAGCAACAAGAGTTGCCTCAGATGCAGTTCCTTGAATTAAATAATGGCAATTAAGTATTTTTCATACATTTTAGAAAGGAATTTAGAAGTTTACCTTGAATAACTCCACCAGCTTTACCTCCTGAGCATGCAAGAAATTCTTCTGGTAAACCGATCATCTTGCCTAACCAATCAAGCATAACAACTTCGAGTTCTGTACATGCTGGGCTAGCAATCCACGTAAAACCAATACATGCAATTGCGCCACTCAACATATCGGCTACAATTGCTGGATAAGAATTTGCTGTTGGAAAGTAGGCGTGGAACTGGATTTGGAAAGAAAAAGCAGAAAGAATGTTAAAAAGAAAGAAGATTTAAAAATGTTAAATACAGGAAATGTTGGGTTTAAAGTAATTAAATAATATATGTCTTACTCGAGGTGAATGCCAGTGAGTTACTCCAGGCATAATGACGCGTTCAATGTCAGCCATGACATCGGTCCAATTTTCTGGTTTATCTGGTGCATTTTCTGGGATGAGTGGACGAAGATATCCAGGTGTAACTGATGGAAGTACTGGTCTGTAATATTATATGAATCATTAAAGTAATTGTGTCTTATTTAATGCAATATTCTTATGCTGTCTTCGAGGCTGTTGGTAGTGTTATTTATAGTCGATTGAATTTTGAGTTCATTGAACATTTGCTTGTTGTAGAAGATTTGTTGTGGTATTTTTACATAGTTTAGTATTTACTTTAGATTTTATTAAAATTCATGCAAGCATTTTTGCAGTGGGTTTGCTGATTGCGATGGTTTGGTCAAGAAAACGCAGTTAGAAATATGATTCTATATGCAAGAAATAACTTAACGGGTATGGCTTTAATTAAATTTCATAAATTGATAAACCTTTACTTTTAAAAGTCTTTAAAAAAAAAAAACATTCTAAACTGCAAGATCTACCCATAATTCCTAAGAAGGTCATTTGATCATATATTGATCTTAGCATATTACGCAACCTACCATTCAGGTTTAATGACAATAATTCTACAAGAATATGTTTCTCATTAAGAATCTCCACATCAGTCTTTGTATGTATAAATAATAATAGCAATTTTCTTTTTAATATTAAGACGATACTGTGAAGCACCAAAACAAATTGATGTCATTATACTCGAGTATATTGAAATTTTCAACAGTTTTAATGAACCAAGAAACTTAGTACAAACTTAAAAAAACGAAATAAACTGGTTTATATCTGTTATTCTCCTTTAAACAGTTAAAATATGTTTTTTTTTGTTGCAAGAATTCATGGTGAAGGACAAGTCCATAATAGTTGTAAAAGAAATAAATGTATATTGAACTTAAAATTGCTAAGCGAAACTACACAGTTATTGACCTTCAAGTGAATATAGAGAGTAGTCTAAAATAAGTTTCTAACAAAAAGCATTGAACATAAGTTGAGTTGTTCCGGTTCCGTTTTACTTAATAAATTAATACAGTTTACACAAAATTAATTCAATGCAAGTTATTAGCAGTATTTTGCGATCATTAAAATGTCATACATTGAAAAAATTAAAAAACCGGCACATGGTTGAAAATGCAGTACCAAGGCTAAAAGTATTATTGGCTGCAACCATTACTAAAGTTTAAAGAAACTGCTTTTTGTGTTGGCTTAGTTCCAGTTGAACAACATCATAAGAATCATTTTGACTTAAATTATTTAATTAAGACCACATTTTCACTTTTGAACAGATATGATTAAACAATTAGTGATCGAGAGCTGATGACGTTTGGTAAATCCGATCGATTGAGAGAAGTAAGAAACTTGTTTTTACTGTTTATTGGGTTTATTATCATTTTAATTCTCATATTCTACTCAATTTTTGTCGCTTGCAGAGAAATGTATACGATGATTCAGTGTGTATATGGCTGGGATTTTTTCATGTCTTGTATTTTTAATTGAGTGAATAAGGTATTCTCTAAGTAGACTGACTCACAGAGTTGGTTTGGTATTGATTTGAGTTATTTGAATTGGGGATATACCCATAAGAAAGCTTTGCTAATTTGTATTGAGAAAATCTTTGGAAGCTATTTAGCTATGGGATGTTATGAATTCACATAATTTGAAATTTGAATTGAATGCTAAAATTAATCAATTTGTACAGTTTCTTTTTAATTTGTGCAAAATTCAGATATGGTCGATTTTGGTTAAGATATTGATTTGATCTTTGTGGAACAATTGATTTTTTAAACGTTGAATCGAAGTAAGAAACTAACGTAAAGCAATTTGCACATTAGATTTGAGATCTTTAAAAGCAAAATTCGAATTTATTTGAGAGTTTGCGTATTTATTTTAAGTGTTTTCATCACAAAACTTTAAAATCTAAGTTTAGTGCATTAAAAGAAATTCAATTGCTTTTGATTAGCTCGTTCTTATCCAAATCGCTTATCACTTCAAAATTCAATCCAACACTTGAATAAATAAATCATTTACACCTCTGATTTTTTCAATCTAACTTCACCAAAACTCGATTCACGTTTTCTTCATATTTCTTACCTGTCACGTATATTCTCCAGATAGTTTGCAATGTAATCGACCATTGACTTGGCAAAATCTTTAAATTCAGGTGCTTCCATGTCGATCTAAAAATTTAATTGTTAATTGTTTGGTAATTAATATGATTGTCCTTGAGAATTAATGAATTTTATTAATAATCATTAAAAAATCGACATGCAAAGTTAAACGAGTACTTTAAATATTAATTACTCACTGATTCTAGTGGTTTTTTGTTTTCACAATCCATGTTTAACAATCTTTTTATGTTAGTAGTGCAAGAAAAAAATATTATTTTAATTTTGTGAGAAAATTGCCGTCACCTTGAAATATTTTTTAATACTGATTCTCTCTATTTCTATAGACAGTCTGTAGCTGAATATTACTCAAATGTGACACTTGATTTATTCTGTATCGGGTTTGTTAACGAAAATTATGAAAAGTCACTTATCACATCAGTAAGATCTTAATTACTGTCAGCATTTATCTTATCGAACAATACTTTCATTCACGTGAAAAATTTCGTACTTACTTATTTGTTCCTCAAATATATATTCAACAACTAAAACTAATATTATTAATTCAATTAATCAGTACACAATAGCTTTTTGTTATTTAACAAATTAGGCATAAAATGATGAATTAGCCCTTATACCTCAAAAAAGATGATAATACTATCAATAATCAAAACTTATTTTTAAATCCACAACCTTTTCCAATCCCGAACTTAAATTATACAACAATAGAACAAACTTAAATTGATACTAACGAAGTGAACTATACAGCATAAAAGTTGAAAAGTAACTAAAGCTTTATGCTGATTGTGACTGTGTTTTTATATCAAGCACAGATTCATATTGAGTGGGAAAAGAAAATGTATATAAATGTAGCAAACCAGGGGTGCTATACAAAGCTCTTCTAACTCCGTTTCTCTGAGAGATTTTGATTCTTCTCTTTGATGGAGTTTGTGGATTTTTTTTTTGTATTTCGTGAGTAAATTTGTTTTGGTATGGTTGATTTCTTGCTTATGATTAAGAATGTTTTTGTTGAGATTTTAGTTGCATTTTTTTAAAAGTAGTTAAGAATAAATTTGAATTTTTTAAAAACAGGTTTTCAGAGTGAAAGATCTTTGTATGCTCATCAAGATGCCTAAACCAGTAAAAACTAGCATTGGTGAATGATTTTTGACAAGATTCTTAAATTGTTATTTGAACCAAGAAAGTATCTTGGTTAGTCATTAAAACAGAATGTAAATCACAACTAGTCAATATATCGATATTCTGGTTCTTCAATCTTTACTACTCTATATAATCATTTTAATCAATCTATTTTGAACATAAAGATAAACAGGGATACAACTAAGAAATGTTATATCTCCAAGGATTATATCCCATCCACTCCTAAAACCCATAAAACTCTTCAAAGATCTACGCACATTCACTCACACATATTTAAACAACTACGAGTACTCCAATTCAAAATCTTTTAAATCTCAAACCAGCATCATCAAATGTTATGGACATATGAGGAAATGAAAAGCCTCACACCACCACTGGACCTCACAGTATAGTTGGGATACACAGCGCATATAAAAATATATGTACGAGAACAATTCTACAAGTGGCATTATGTGTCTCTCGCATACTCTCCATTCCATACTTATGTTCCATGTACATTAAATGTGTTACTATAGAGAATAAATCAGATTGTGATTTAAGAAGGAGAAAAAAAAAATGAATGAATGAATGAGAATAAGAGATTTATTTATTCAGTGCGAGAGTCAATCCATTAAAAGATGGAAATTTTATTAGTTCTATTTCTTCTTCTTGCCTTTTCTTCTTCTTCTTTTTGAGTGAACTGTGTAGAAAAAAAGCTTTGTGAGGGTGAGGAAAAATAGAAAAGAAATGGAAGTAAACGATGTGTGAAAAACGAGGAGATTTTCTAAGTGCCATACAGGCATGTATCAGAATTGTTTAAAGCTATAGAAAAATGCTATGTAATCGGAGACAAAATCACGATTTCTATGTCAGTAGAATTTTTTTTCCAGATACATAATGTACAGTACATGTAGAGAACAGAATAAATATTCAACAGTTTCTCATTCCTTTTATAAATAGACAGTTTTTTCTCCTATAATGAATGTAATAAGAAAGGGAGAGAAAAGGTTATTGTAGTTGCAGAATAGGAGAACGCCCGTGACCCAATTTAATTATTTTTTTGATTTTATTATGTGCTTTGCTTGGAGAAAAAATGGTAACTGTAGCGATATAGTTGTAGTGTAGTTTATGATTAGTAATGGTTTTTAAAAGATATCTGTCTTCGTAAGCTACTTTATGGAAATCTAGTGACAACGCAATAAAAAGTTCAAGAGTCAAGTTTAACAAGATTTAAAGAAGTATAATAAGAATTCTAGATCGAAAGAAATTCAATACAGTCAATAAAGAAGAAGACAATATTTTCTAGGACCGATCTCATATATGATTATCTTGACCGATCTCATAGTCATTACCTTGACTTATTTCGAAGAGCTTTAGGATTGTTAAAGAGTTTTGATTTTTAAAAAAAATGTTGGCTATAAATAATTAGCTTTATAAGATTTGAATATCCTGAACTTCATTTCTCGATTCAATTGATGCAAGTTCTTGCTTGCTTTTGATTAATCTTTGGGCAAGATCAGAAAAAAAGGGAATAAATATTCAAATTCAGATTTCTCTGCTTTTAATAACTTAATTAATATGATTCCTTCACTACATGATAGCTAATAATAGTAAGTTTCTATTTAACATTCATTTTTCAAAATGGCGACTTATTAAGTAAGTTTAATTAACAAATTAATATTTGAAATCGATTTTTCTTTCAAAAGAAAGCAAGATAAATGTTTGGAAGCTTGACAAAAGTTGTAGAGCTTGCTTTTTTCTATCATATGATCAAAATAGATTTTATTAAAAATGAGTTATTTAAGTTAAATTAACTGAAAACCAAATTGAATGTAAAATGTATTTTTAAATCAAAACTATTAACCTTAATCGGTCAAGAACAATTACTTGATATCTAAAGAGTCTTTTACTATTTAATTTACATTCGAAAAAGGCTTAAAAGTAAGTTAAATTAACTATAAAAACAATGAAATTTAAGTTGAGCAACAAATTTTGCTCTTATTTGCTCACAAATTTATAATTTTAAAAACCGTTACAAAATTTTTGGTCAAATTTTTTACTATAATTTAATTTTCTCTGCTTGTCTTGAACAAAAAGTAATATTTCTATTGCAATATGATAAACATTGTTGAATTCTATAGTTTGAAATGGAAAAATCAGTAGACGAATAACACAGCAATGACTTATGACTAGTTTTGTAAAACTCATCATAACTTGGTTAATTATAGTAAAATTGAAAATTTTCTCTTACAGACTTAAAGAAAATTACATATGTAACCTTTTTTGCAAAGAAAGATAGTTCCTAAACTATTTCCTTCATATCAAAATTTCAGCTTCAACATTTTAAAGCTGAATTGAACTAACTTACAAATCCGCCATTTTGTATATTTTAGACAAAACTTTTAATGATCTGATTACTTAATTATCTGGTGAAAAAATCGTTATGATTAATGAAGTATTCGCAGAGATATTACATTTGCAACATGGTGTAAAATCGAATTTCCTCAAAATTGTTCGTGACGCTTAGCATTTTAAATTAATTTTTAATTATAATACAATGTCTAAGAGATACTTGTTATACACCAAAATATAGGTCTTGGCAAGGACTTTAAGAAAAACAACAAGTCTTAAATACATATTTCGCATTATTGATTCAAAAATTGTAAATTATTGTTAAGCGTCACGAACAATTCATTTTTGATCTTGCCCCTTTTATAATGTTTTCTGCCGATGTTTTAATTATCCTCAGCAATATCGCTTATCAGCTATTTAAAAATAGAACTAGCGAGTTCTTCATTCAGTTTTCTTCAGACTTCTTAACAAATAAGATGAATATAATAATTTTATCAGTCATTTTAACTATCGCTTTTTCAGAAGCAATTAATCTGGGCACGTATGATTAGTTGAACCAAACTTGACAAATCTTGAATAAAAATTAAACATATTAGATTTTATTTTTCAAATCAATAGTTTCAGATATAGAAGCGACAATAGATCCATGCCCAGGGGCGTAGCCAGAAAATTTTTAAGGGGGGGTCCCATTTGCGAAAATTAAAAAACCCGTTATTTTGTATCCTTAAATCTATATTCATTGTTCATAAGTTTAAGTATTTAATTCATTATTCATACATTAAATTTAATTTTTCGTGCTGATTTTGACATTTCTTTCATCACTTTCTCTACATTAACTGGTTCTTCTCTATAAATACTTAATAAAACAATTATCAGATTTTCGTAGGGGGGGCCCGGGCCCCCTATGGCCCCCCCCTGGCTACGCCCCTGTCCATGCCCATATCGTCAGAATTGCAGAATTATTAGACCTTGCCAACCTGGGACCGTCCTCAGTAGAAATCGTTTAGGTTGCTGTTGCAGACGTAAGAATTCCATATTTTAATATCCAATTAAAAATTAAATTTCTATAAGTTTCAATTATTAGCCTTATGCACCGGACCTAACGAAGTGTATGCCTGTGAATGCGTTGATAAAGTTTGTAATGCACCACTAATTGTGTGTAAAATGTGTATTGATGGATGTTACTGTCAACTTGGATTTGCTCGTGATCCTGTAACCAACGAATGTATTCCTGAAGATATGTGTCCTCTTTCAGAAGATGGAATGTTAAATTAATAAAATAATTATGTTATTTCATTAGAAAATTGTTTAATATTTTTGGAACTTAATTCAAACATAAATTTATTACTTTCAGAATGGGAAATACCTATTCAAAATGAGGTTCTCCAGTATTGTTGTTCGAAGGTTAACTTAAAGTAAACAAAATTTGAACTAGATCTGTATTTGATGCAGCTCTCTAAGGTTTATTGTAAGCTCACATCTTTTGACACGGAACGTAGTGTGATAATAAAGATAGTCATTTGCTTCAGCTGATCAAAACCTCCAAAAATGTCTGTTAAGGATGTCTGCATGTTGCATTCGAGATTAAAAACACTGAGTTTTTTTTTTGTAAATCCATTAATTTTAACTATCAGAGTAAAGAGATATTAATCACAAAAGAAAACGTCTTGTTTATTGCAAATGTATTGAAGTACAAAAAAATATTTGATCAGATGGTTAATTAAATAAAATGAAATATTTTAATGGAGTTCTGTTTTTAAATAAAACGTTTTGCTGGGAGAAATTGAGTCACATATTAAAACAATTCAGAACGAATTAGTCTTAGGATCAATCTATAAAAAGGTTGATCAGTAAAGAATAGTTTAATCATAAAACCAGATAGGTTATTGCTTAAGTCTTACAACAGAGTCATATTCTTTATCCTCGATACTTAGAAGTCCTCGATTTGAATAGGTAATTTGTTCCAAATAAATCCTATTCAAATAGAATCCACTGTAGGTAATATTAAATGCATTACGAACGATACCTTCTTCATATAAAACATGCATAATTGAGGACGTTAACGTTGGCAAATATGTAAGAACAAACACAAAATCTATGGCAAGCTACAGCTGTTGATTTAGTTTTTCTATTGTTTTTACTCAATGCTTTAATTATTGTCACTGATATCTTTTATCAGTTTTATATATAAACAGCAGAACTAGTGAGCTAGTAATTCAGTCTTCAAAAGTCAACCAAACACAAAAGATGAAAATAATAATTTTGTTGCTCATTTCTTTCATAGCTTTTTCAAAAGCTATTGACAAAGGTAAGATTCATATAAAACAGTTCAAATTAAGACTTAAATTCAAAAGTTATATATCAAAAATGTTAAAGTTATAGATCCTGAAACATTGGTGGCTATAAGAGATCCATGTCCATATCGCATGAACTGTGCAGTTATTCGAATCGTATGCTCACCAGGAACAGTTTTTGATATGAATCCAAGAGGTTGCTGTTGCAAACGTAATTTGTTCTGAATTTGACATTATTAATAAGTTCAGTAAGTTATTAAATATTTTTATTTTGGAATATTAAGCGTTATGCACTGGCCAAAACGAAGTCTACACCTGTGGATGTGCTGATAAAGTTTGCAATGAACCACAAATTATGTGTATCAGATGTCTTAATGGATGTTTTTGCAAACCAGGATTTGTTCGTCATCCTAAAACTAAACAATGTATTCCTGAAAAATTATGCCCATTGGCTTTGATTGAAGAAGCTTTATAATTTAATTATAATTTAAAGTCAAACTTAATAAATAGAATAGAATAAAAAACAAGTGTTTATCAAAACTAATTGACTGGTTGGATTTAAAACTTATAACCGAAAGACATTCCGAATTTTCCCAAATCATACCCACTTAGGTCATAAACAAGAAGAGCAGATCTTATACATATTATTAATTTAATAAGAATTATAAAGATCATATTAAAATATTAAGTTTTAAGGTCGTTAAAGTTGACATATTTTTTGAAGTAAAAAACAAAAGCTTTGGTAAGTTGAAGCTGTTGATTAAGCTTTCCTAATGTTTTTATTCAATGCTTCAATGACTGTTAGTGATATCTTTAATCAGTTATAAATAACGCAACTATTAAATTATTCATTCAGTTTTTCATATTAAAGCAACTAGATAAGATGAAAATTTTAATATTATTAACATTAATAGCTTTCATAGCTTTGACAAAAGCGAATGAAGCAGGTAAAAATTAGTTTGTGTATTATAGATTTAAAAGAATTCAAATTTCCTTAGCAAATAGTATAAATCAAAATTTTAATTAACAGAAGCAGACGCACAAAAAATGCCACTGAGAGATCTATGTCCAACCCGCAGGAACTGCAAAACAATCAAAATTGTGTGCCCACAAGGAACAGTTTTTGATTCGAATCCAAAAGGCTGCTGTTGCAGACGTAATATTTCGCATTCCCATTTTTATATCCAAAAAGAATAAATTAATTTTTTTTTGAAATTATTAGCTTTATGCACCGGTCAAAATGAAATCTACACCTGTGGATGTTCTGACTTAGTTTGCAACAAAAAACCAATTTTGTGCAGAGGGTGCGATTATGGATGCTTCTGCAAACCTGGTTTTGTTCGTCATCCTATTTCGAAAAAATGTATTTCACCAAAAAATTGCCCAGTGAAAATGGAAATGGCAGAAGATGCTGTTGTTTGATTTTCAGTTGCTGTCAAATTTAATGCGAGAACAATAAAATTAAAAATATATTTCTCGAAAATGAATTACTAATTTTTTGGGGATACATTTTTTAAAGATTTATTATTATTTTTAAAGGGATTATGGTTTGGACAGAGTTTAGATTTGCTAGGATTAGGCCACGTGCGAACCTTCTTAAAAAGTCTCGGCTCACGTCAGCAGGCAATTCCTTGAAATTGCTTTGTTAATAAAAAATTTCGCAAATATCTTAGAATCTGAACTAAAGAACCTACATATCTGGGTTATTCATATTCAAAAGCTTGAAATTTTCAATGAATTTTAGAATATCAAAAAGAAAATAGATGTCTTTAGATGTACTTAAAAACAAAATAATATTTGTTCAGATGGATACTTAATGGAACATAATATATTAAGAGCGTGTTCTAAAGTAAATACATTTATTCCTCATTTATTTTTTTTAAAATACTTATTCATCATTTACAATTATTGGAAAGCAAAATTTATCTTTTTTTAATTTTAATAAATTGATTTAATCTGTACGAACAGTATATCAGACCAAAAAGCTTCAAATGTGATTTTTTTAATCTTCAAAGACAAAAAGTTTGAAAATTAAATTTCTCTAAGATTTGAATACAATATTCCGTACTCGATTGTTCCTTATCAGTATCAATTAACTCAGCAATTAATAAGGTATAAGGAGATCATAATCGATCTTCTCTTCGAACTAGTTAACTCTACAGCCCATCTATTGTTTCAATGTTTTAATAAAAACAACAATGTTTTACTGATCGTCACGGCATTTCTCAGATGTATCTCTTATCAGTTTTTAAAAAACAAAACTAGTTCGATATTCAGTTACGTTCAGTCAATCAAATAGACAGCATGAAAGCAATAATCTTGTCATTTATTTTATTCGTCGCATTCTCAGAAGCAATGGTTCCAGGTGAATTTTTTGAGTGATTAATCTTATGAACAAATGAGTAATTTCCTTCAAAATAAACAGGAAGACGATGTGGAGCATTAGTTGAGTCAAAATGTCCAACTCGTCAGGAATGTCCTTTAAAGAAACCAATTTGTCCAGCAAAGACTGTACTTGATTCAAATGAAGATGGCTGTTGCTGTAAACGTAATTTAAAATCACACTTTTGTGTATAAAGCGAAATATAATTGATTTAAATATTAACAGCTTCCTGCAAAGGTCAGAATGAAGAATTTGGCTGTGGATGTGCTGACAAAGTCTGCAATGAGCCTCAAATTATGTGCATTCAATGCCTAGATGGATGCTTCTGTAAACTTGGATTTGTTCGTGATCGACAAAATGGAAAATGTATCCCTGAAAAGCAATGTCCAGCTCCTTAATTCTATTTTAAATTTTCAATAAACTTTTATCTGTATACTCTAAGGTTTAAAAGTTGATTATTTCGATACTTTTGTGCGCAAAAAATAACAACTCTGTTTGTACAACTGAACTATTTCATCGGTATGTCAGGGATATCAATTGATAAAAAACAGCATGTTTTAATAATAATTATTGTCTCAGAAAATGACTCATTTAATTCCATAAAATAAACAATCCTCGTTTTTTCAATAATTATGAAACAACTTAACTTTATTAATCTACAGAATAACATTAAATATCACTTTTTTACTGGCAGTTTTTGTTGCTTTTTCTTCTTCTTGCTTTTCCCTTCCTCTGTAAGCCACTCTCTTGGAACCTCAGCAGTTATGTCAGAATTAATGGGTCGTATTGGCACTGTCGAGATGACATTCTTTGGATTTGTTCCGACAATGAATTTCTCCAACTCATCGTAGCTTGAATGTTCTGAATATTGGCAATTAATAAGAGAAATGCGGCCACTTGTGTACTTATTATTCACCCATCCAGTGGCTGATATTCCCAATAGAGTATTAAATGAGTCCTGATTTTCACTGAGAAAGTCTCTTAGACTAATATAAGTAATTTGTAGCATGTTAACAATACGGATTTCTGCTTCCTGTTCATTCAACGTGACATACTTTTTATAGAACTTAAAATGTGATACTGATGCTGTACATATTTCTTTAAATGCTTTGAATCTCTCCTTTTCGAGATATACTTTAAAATTGAACTTTTCAGCAATTGCCATCCACACCTTTTCCTTGCCAATGAGATAAGCACCAACAAGGATGATAAACTTTTCACCAATAAAGTCTTCAAGATATTTTTGTACACTATGCAGCACAAAGTCAATAGACTCTTTTTGTGATGGCATTCGTCTCTTACTATGTAAATAAGTTGTGTCTAAATAAATAAGATCTAGTGTTGGACATTCAAATTGATGCAACTTTTCAATCATCTCGTCATTCGCTCTAAAATCGCCAGTATGCAGCACATTACGTCCATCAGGAAATTTAAACAAGAACAAGAGTCCACCGGGACAATGATTTGCATCTAACGGAATTATACACACATTTTCAACATAAAACGGCACATCCACATAAACTATATTGAGGTATTCTTCAGCAACGCCAATAAACTGTCTAACTAGCTTTGCTGTTATTTCTGAGAGATAAATTGTATGGCAGAACTTCTTCTTAAGTCCAATATAATGATCAGCATGAAAATGAGTGAGGAAATAATGCTCAACACCCGAGATCTCGCCGTACCTAAATGCATCCACAGCAAATAGTGAACCTTCAATGATTTTATAATTTGGACATATCGCCTTCTTTCTTTTTGAGGGTTTCTTGTTTTCAGTATTTTGTTCCTCATCATCACTTGCGTCACTCATTACAGCCACTAGTGATCTGTCCATATTAATACTCTGCTTGGCATAATCCTGATTTGCAAAGATTTTATTGACTATTTCATCGAATATTCTGCTTGGATCTATTTGATTCTGAAAGTTGTCAGTTATACATTCTAACTTGATATTTGGTGCTGGCTGGATCTGTGAATCAGATAGGATTCTATCCTCTTCTTCTAATTTGACTTCAAGAAGTTGTGTCATCGATAGATTTACTTCCTTTTGAACAGGACGTGACGACTTTTGGAATGTTTTGAAATAAGTTTGTCCATTTGTTTGCTTAAAGTAATTTTTAATCGTTGCTTGCTTCCTGTCTTTCCTTAATGTCTGCAATTTCTTCTTCTTCTCCTTTACCTTGATCTTTTCCTCGTCAGATGATATCTCTATTACTAGCTGCTCCATTTAGACTGTATCATTATTTAATTATTTTTTCAGAATATTATGAAATTTTTTGTTTACATCTTTGGGGGATTTCTCATAAATGACGTTCCATTTTAAGCGGGAAAATAGTTTCTTGAGTTTTTAATGCTCTTAACGTTTACACGCCTAATTATTATGATGCAGAAGGAGGTGAAAGTTGACTATAAATAGCCATAAAGCATTAATTTAATCCCAAAGAGTCTTAAAAGCAATAAACAAAATCTTTTCCATTTTAACGTTTTTAAGAAATTTGAAAAAATAAAACTTAAACGATAGCCTACCCCTTTACCAACCCCGCACTAATATTACGACAAACATTTACAAATACCATTACAAAAAATAAAAACATTTACAAATCAAAAGTGAAAATTTAATTAAAGCAGTTTAACGTTAAAATAATTGTGCTTAAACATGATATCGCCATAGTTTGAGGTGTCTGTTACCAGAATAATATAAATTGAACAAGGAAAAGTGTAAGTAAGAGGCTGAAAAAGGATCTGAAAAAATCTTCAAATGTGGCTTCACTTTATATTTTTATGCAAAAAGTTTTGCAAATTTATGCATATTGTGGATTTAAATGTAGTCACTGGATGTGGCTTATTATCACGCATAATTTGATATAAAAATGTGTGTATGGATAATAGAGGATTTGTGTTTTTAAGCGATATTTTTTATTTGGGCTAGTTCCGATTGTTCTAAAATCAGATGTTCGATATATTCACATCATAGCTCAACAATTTAATTAGTGTCACAATTTTTTGCGTAGTAAACTATACAATCTCAGGTAGTTCCAAAAGACTTTTTGTTATGAAAGATTAATAAAAATATTTTGATAATAAATTAAAGTTGACTATAGCTAGTAAGTCACAAGACACATCAACAATAAAACACATAATTAATCAATTAAATTATTCACATGATATCCAATAACATTCAGTTCCAATAAAAGCAATAAATAGTGCAATAAAGAAATCCGTACGTAAGAAGAAAATCAAGCCACAGCTGTGAATATAAAGAGCGAATTGTTGGTTCCCCATTTTCTAAATATTTTTCTTTTTCCTTCCTATTATTTTTAGTACAGAAAAAATAAGGCACAAGCAAAATGCCGAATGAAAATGATAAAAGTCCTATATCGCAAAATAAGCCAACCATTCATGCACAGTTGCCAATTGATTTAGCAAGTAAAGTGATTGTAAAGCCTGCAAATGACTCTAAAATGCTCCAACAGCCGACTTTTAGGACGATTCAACAACCGGCACAAATGAGAGTTGTAAGAATGCCAACGCCAAGTGGAACTCAAATAATACAGACACAGCTAGTTCCTCAGACCATTTTAAAGACGCCAATGCAACAAACTGGTCGGTCTACAATCACTGTTTCGAAATCTCCAGCAACTTATTTGCCACGAGTTACAGCCACATTAAGTACTATTCCACAAAATAAAGCTGGTCAACAAATAAGAACTCCAACGCCTCCAGTTAGTGCAACAACAATGTCACCAGCCTTTGTGAGATCGATTACGCCTAGAACTTCATCTCCAACAGCTGTTTTATCACAAGGAGGAACTGCTTGGGTTTCTGGCGGCAATGCTATGCAAGTTCAAGTTCCAACACAATTAATAAGATCTACAATCACTCAAAATCGTACACACATTTTACAGCCAAGTTCCGTTACAGTCACAAATAATGCTGGAAATGCTCAAACAATAACAAATATATTTGGTCAACAAAGTCAACAACAAAATCTTGGTGGAAGTACGACAATTAGTGTGACCACAAGTGGTGGTTCCGGACAAACTCAACAGCCAACATATGTAGCCACAGTTCTTCCCCAGCGTCCACAAGCTGCCACAATTGTCTATACATCACAACAACAACAGCCATTTACAGCAATTCAAGGTCAAGTTCAAAGAATGGGAATTGGAAATCAAGCAGCAAATACACGTCAAGTACGTCCAATTCAAAGAATACCAACGACTGGAATTAGAGTAAATACATCTTCATTAAGTATCAGACCTAATGTGCCTGGTTTAACTCCGACGACAGTTTTAACGACACAAAATCGTGGCACGTCTGGTTTAGTTGCTGGAACTAGTACAACTATATCAAATACAATTCCAGCGAGAATCTTTCAAGTCCAAACGTCACAAACACAATCAGTTACTGGATCACAACAAGTTCTTGGACAACAGAATCAAAAGATCTTACAGGCTAATGTCATGACATTGCCTATAATTGTAAATAATCGAATTAATCCACAAGTTAAGAATACATTACAGCCTGGAATTATAGCGCATGTTAGTAAATTACAGCCAGGCTCAGTATCAAGTGATGGAACAATTATAAGTAATTCAATTACAACAACGATTCCTACAAATACAATGGTGGCATCAATTCAAGCTGGACAACAGAATCAGAATCAGTCAAATCAATTGCAAGTATCTCAAGGAAGCAGTCAAGTATCTTATGCGACTGCTCAACAAGTTGGAAATTTATCAAATCAAGGTGGACAAATAATTACAGTTTCCCAGCAACAACAGCAACAAATTCTTCAAGGAGGTCAACAGAATCTTCATCAACAAGGCAGTAATGTGTCTACGGTTGTGCCATTACAAATTTCAGCTAGAGGTGGAAATATTCCAATTAAAACGATTACAGTTTCGACTGCAAATTCGGGACTAGATGCGAATAGTCTTCATCGTAATTTATCATCAAATGCTGGAAATATGCAAGCTACTACAATAATGCCAATTGCTAAGCTTGTACAATCACAACAGCAGCAAAATCATGGACCTGGACAGAACTCAAATCAGCCAACTTCTGTTTTTATACAAACTCGAATTCCATCGACAATGTCTACAACTAATTCAAATCAAGTTGTTAATGTCTCTACACCGTCATCAACTATTTTTTCGAACACTGGAACTGTATTTTATGAATCAGCTTCTGTGTCCATTGCTCCCTCATCGTCATCGTCTCATGGCAATATTGAAACTAAATCTACATCAATTTCCACTCCAACGAATGAATCGTCCTCATTTACTGTTGTTTCAGCACCAAACATCCGATATACGGATAAAATGATACAATCAATTATTGCTAATAGCTATTCACAAGCGAATTCAGCAAATAGTCTTCAACAATCGTCCGTGTCAGCATCTCAGCCTCATCAACAAACTGTAAGATATAGTCCATTAGTTGTTGAGAGTCAAAATTCGCAATCACAGAATCAGCAACATCAAATTATTACGATGACATCTGGAAATATTATTCAACAAGCTGCATCTCAGCAGCAACAACAACAACAAAATCAACAGATTCAAAATACTAGTATTGAGAGTAGTGTCATTACTGCTCTTCCAGCATCCCCGAGATCTACTATCAGTGCTATTCGTAAACAAAATGAAACGACGCCAATTAAAATACCTAAAAAGGCAGCTAAGGTGAGGAAACATTCATTTCTAATTATATTTTTACGGTTTTTAAAAATTCAAAATTTTTGAACTTTAAAAAGCAGCAAAAAATTTAAATTTTTGAAAACCGGTAAAATTTGAATATTTGTAGCTTTAAATTTAATTTTTTTATAAACAAATATCTGTAATCCATTAAAACTTTAATAATTCTAGAAAGCCGCCAATTTAAAAACAATACTAACAAAATCTACAATTTTGCAGCCAACATCTTCAGCAAAACAGGAATCAAAGCAAATTCCTGTAGCAGCAACATCGTCATCTCCAAAAGGTTTAGTGATTTCAGAACGAGAAAGTAGTCCAGTGCATGTAGAGCACGATTGGTCAGACGATGGATCGACAACAGTTAGTATTCCAAACAGTCCGAGTCCAGAAGAAGATGATTTAGATGCGATGATTATGAGCAATCAGTTTAATAGAAAATCACAAGACGAAACTGATTTGAGTAAATTTATTAAAACTGTCGCGAAACTTGGTAGTGCTGTGAAGCGTGAATTAAGTGATCCAGCAGTAACGCCGAAGAAGAAGCAGAAACTTTCAATGTATGTCTTGTTATTATTGAAAATTCCAAGTTTATTTCTGTTTAACACGGGCATCAAATTTGTTTATATTTACAGTGAACGACCATCAACAGATGTTGTCGATAAAGCAGGTCCACCGGAACCAGCTGAGAGTACTGAAAATATTGTGGTAAAGAAGCGCGATGTAATTTTAAAGAAACCAACAGTTATGCTGCTTAATGCATACAATCAAAATTGGAAGCCAGCACCAAATCATTTCGTGAGATATTCAGACGTAAGAGTACGGGGTGATGATCGTCGCGCAAATGTAATGGATTTAGCAAATCAACCGAAAGTTTCTCAACGCATCAATGGCTGGAAAACTCACTTGATAAATGCTGAAATCGATGAAGTGGTAAGTTTCTACATTGATTGAGAAATTTTGAGTCGTTACTAATCGTTTTATTGTTGTGTATTTTGTGTATCGTATCAGATAAATGACGAAACGCATGAAATGGAAATTTTAACAAACGTACTGAAGCGTTTGGAAGCAAAAGAATCTGGTCCAGAAGCTGAAAAGATTAATGAACTTATAAAGGTATGTTTTGACGTAATATTTGTTGCATTGATGTGTGCTATGAACTCATATGAATTAGATACGAAGTGGATAGTGAGTTGCAGATTGCAAAAATTTGTGATTTTAAAACGTATTTATATAATTTGAATTCAAAATTTTGAACCTTAAAAAATAACTGTTATTTTGGAATTCAAAATTTGTAACTGTCTGAAGTTCAAAATTCAAATGATTCTTTAACGGACTTTTTAAGTTCAACGGTCTGTTTCACTAAGGTGGATTATCCACTTTTTCAATCCGAGGATAATCCATAAATTTGTTTACTTCGTTAAACTGCACGGTGAGTCAGAAACAATGGATTTAAAGAAAATAATTTTTTGACGATAGATTTCACAAAAGAAGATTATCCTAGTAAGTGGATTATCCTAGGATTATCCACATAATTAATCTAAAATGTTAAAACTGGGTCCCACCAAGATTGAAAATTCGGATAATCTTCAGGATTATCCTAGGATAATCTAAGGATAATCCATATACTAAAATTATTTTATCGCGATATTCACTATACAAGAAAAATGATTTTTCTCAAACTAGCTTGATTATTATTTACCAATTAATTCTGCATCAGAAAGAAATTATTTGGATTTTCCTTGCATCGAAGAAATAGATAATCCTAAAATGAGGATAATCCACCTTAGTGAAACAGGCCGCAAAATTTAAATTTATTTTCAACGCCTTTTTTTATCTATGCAAATTTAATCAGCTCTAGATTATTATACAACAATAAACTAACAAATTCTATTATCATCCAATAATCCAGGGCAATATGCAACGCAGCCGGTTAATCGTTGACTCATTTAATGATTCAAAAGCTCAATTAATGAAAATATTTGAGCATAAAGAGCATGCATTAGACATTGTGAATCGGTGTGTGTCAAAAAGGAACTTCAAAAAAAGGTAAAACCTTAAACGCATTGTAAAGGAAACTTCATAAAAAGTTGTATGTACATCATTGTACAGAAAATATAATTAACAAAACTTTAACTTAGAAATTCATAAATATTAAATTAGCTTTAAGTCATGATTTAATATGAGTTAATTTTTTCGATGGAATATCATTTTTAAAAAAATATTTCAAAACATTTTTCTACTTTAAACGTAATTTTTAAACAAATCAAACAAGATAAAAAAATATTGATTTTTTTTTCTAGAATTTTAAGATTTTTGATTGAGGTATAAGTTAAGGAATATTGATGATAATTAAAAAAGAATGAAGATTAAAAATTTAAAAAATATTTTTTTATTAACTAGTAATTAACATAATAAATTAAAATTTACAGAAAATTAAAGCGATAAGTGCTTTTACCATTCGAATGAACTATTTGTTGTGGCTGTTGATGTGGATAGAATGTTGTAATGTGCTTCGTTGGATGTGCAAATGTGTTTGGTGAGATAAATCTACGATATTTTTGGTTTTTAACTATTTTAGCTGGCTGAATCACAGTGGATATCAGTTTAGGAGGTGATTCAAGCTGGTTCAGCTGTATGCTTGCCTTCTTTTTCTTCTTATTGATGTTATTTCGTTTTACTTTGGGTTTTTCTATTGGATTAGGTGGATCTAGCTGTTGGTCTTCAAGGGACTGATTGCTGTGGTTATTTCGGACTGTTGTGGGTTCTTGTTCCTTACTATTTTCAACTTCTTCAGAAAATTTACTAAAAGTACCTCTAAATTTTGGTAAAAATGTGTTAATGTCAAAAATTGGCAAATTGGAAATTCCAGAAACTGAGCTGTAATTAGGAATCTGTGCCTTTCTAGTTCTAGCCAAGACCTGCTCAGATGGATTCTTTTGTATATCCTCAGCTTCCCTTTTCTTCTTATAATCATTTAAAATTCCCGATCGAATGTTATTAATCACATCATCATAAACTGTTATCAAAGGATTAGCTTGATGTGCAATGTGATTAACAGGAATGGGAATAGCTGCTTCGACATATTCATCCTCTTTGAATAGTGGATTATCGAATGGATCTTTACCAAAATATTTTTCTCTATAGCACTGGATTTTATCGCCAAGTTTGTTCAGTCTTTTAGGTGATTTATTGTATTTTGTTGGCTTGTCCTCTTCCTCGATGTCACTTGGAACTGGATTTATGTCATCTTCGATTTCATCGCATTCCTTGACATTTTTAGATGCATAAAGTGAATTTTTAAGTTTTGGATAATTTTCGGAGTATCGATCTGCTGTCAATTGTGGCCGAATTGTTCCTGGAAAGATGCTGTAATTTGGATACTTGATAGATGGCCTGATTGGACCGAATTTGACAGGTCTAACATCATCCTCGTCTGGCAAATAAATCGATGAATTTTTAATCAACTCATCTAAATGCTTAAACAACTTCTCGCCAGTCAATTGCGGAATCTCTGACTTCTTAAAGTATGCAAGTGCAACAGGTAATTGCGAGACATCAACATCACCATCCGTTGATCTCTTTCCACGCCTCTTATGTTGCTTATTTCTCTTATCGTAATCAATCTTTTCAGCACCATGATCATAATTTTTATCTTCATATCCTTCCTCCTTGTAATAAACATTCTTCTTGGACAGTGAGACTTTCTCTTTGATATTCGATTTAGATGGTTTCTCGTGATGATCTGCCTCAACATGACGTACTTGTGCATATAATCTAAATGGTACGAAATTTTCTTTCTTTCTAGACTCATCGCCATCACTTTCATCCTCCTCGATAGTCTCATCTGCATAATCAGCGTAATTACTGTCATTATAGTCGTCACTATTAGCAGCATAATCATCATTATCAACACGATGGATATTGGCATTTTCTTCATTGTTTGTTATTGCTTCACTTTCATTACTACTCGACTCATCTGTATAAGGCAGTTCCTCTGTATCTTCACTTGATTGTACATTTTTGATGTAATTGACTGGAGAAAATTGAGCTTCGTGTGCTAGCTCTTGTTCTCTCTCTTTAAAGTAATCAATTTCACCTTCGTACGGCTGTTGTGATTTTAATTCAGCCACTGGTTCCTTGTCATTTTCAAATTCTGAGAAAAATTTCTGTTGTCTCATTTTGAGATATTGCACGTAATTCCGGACAGCATCAAATGATGGTGGTTGGGTTGGCATTACATTAATCGGTGACGGCTTCATGAGAGGATAAAAAGGTGAGTTGTCTGGAACGTAAGGCGGTATATCCTCGACAGCGTTTGACTTTGATAAGTGCTGGGATTTCTTTTTGGGTTTGTTTTTTCGTGATGGCTTTGAGTAAACGTCATTTCGTTGTGATGCTTTGTCTGGATTACGTTTTGGGGTATGGGATAGTGATTTTTGAGGATTTTGGGATTCTGAGGATTGTTGCGAATTTTTAGGGAACTCTAAAGGATTTTGTGGATATTCTGACGATTCTTGGCTTAGTTCTGAAGATTTGGCACTAAAATTCGATAATTTACGTCCAAATTCTGTTGAGTTGTTGCCAGTCAAAGCCTCAGCACTAGGTCGATCCCTTCCATGAAATTTTGGACGCTGAATATTAAAGATATCCTTCCTTGATTGAGCAGTCAACTCTCCTTTAACATTATCCGAATTAGCACGCTTAAATTTTCGACTATTTTGGTCATTGACACTTTTCACTTTCAACAGTTTTCCATATTGATACTGTTGCTGTCCACCTGGTGCATTTACGTACGCAACTTTCATTGGATATTTTTCAAAACTTAACAGCTTAGCATCTCTTTCATTTTCATAACTAAACGATATGTGACACGATAACAGCATCAACATTAAGCACTTTACATACATTTTTCTTATGCTGCTTCTTTTCTTTTCTGTCTGTCCACAATTCAATTGTAATTATTGGATATAAAAAAAACTCGCTTTTATTTTCATCAAGACCCGATCGCACTTACATCTTAAATAAAACTATCACTTTCGTTTGAGATCGTTACTGTATTTATAGATTTTTGTACACAATTTGCTGCTTTCTTCTCCGTCTGACTGGCTTGCAATAATTTTCTCACTACTTACAATGCTCAATTTTTTTTTTTTCGGTGGTCGTAAAGTGGGTAGATTATAAGGTTGGTAGAGGGGAACGATCTGCATTAAATAATACCTTTTTTGTCGGAAACTTTTGGGGCTGTTCATTTGCTACAGAACTCAAAAATGACCCCCTTCCCAAATCAGTATTGAATTTCCCACGAAGTAGATTTTCTTTTTTTTTTTGATTGCCTTAAAATCCCAGACCCACCTCCACCTATTACGTAATTATGTGAATGACCCCTCTAGCCAGCTAGGTAGTAATTTCAGCAGGTGAAATGAGCACTAAGACTGATCAATTTTTAAATGAGCCGTTAATCACAATCATAATCATTAATTTTAATGTTTGAGCAGTATGCAGTGATGGATTGTTGTTGCTGTTATTTCCATGTGATGACTTTTGGTGCGGCAGCTAATTATGCCAATAATTTTTGATGTTTATAATTATTAATCCATATTTGCAAAATGTTGGTACATTTGAGGGTTTATTTTGGATGTTGAGATGTTATTTTCAGTTGGGAAATGAAGTTTTATGTTGGAACCTAGTAAGTTGTTCAGCATACATATACTCATGAAATGGATATGAAATCTGAAGGTAAGATTTGAATTTTTATGATAAATTACTGGTGATACTCACCACTATACTACCGAGGAAATGATTATTAAATTGTGAAATTACTGTAGCCATAAGGCTGTACTCACCATTATACTACCGAGGATATATGAACATTTATTTAGTGAGTTGCTCAGATTTGAGCTTGTTTTAGTCCTGCCTGTTGAATAGAACAACCATCTCAAATATTTAAGCAGCCTATGTGCAGCATCATAGTAAATTTGAGTAGGACATTTGTTGAAGAACCGAGGTTTGGTCCTTTCTTAATTTGGTATCTAGACTAAGTTTCAATTTAAAATCCATTGCAAGGTATTAAATATAATAAAATGGTATTACATAGGGGGGGAGGGGGGGGGGGGTGTAGTTTATCAAAGAATGTATAAGAAGATCCATGATGATTATGTAATCCATAATAATCATAAAATCACTCAGTCAACCTTAAGTACTCCATCTTAGATTTAACTCCCATCAAATGCGTTCAACACCTCCGCTCAATTATTGACAATATTTCTTACCAAATTAATTCGAGCACACCGGAAATTAATTTTTCAGTTGTAACAAAAATTGAAACAATTACGTCAACCATCAGTCAATCGCGTGTTAATCACTTATTCATTAATATTGTCATGATTATGCTTTAATATTGTTCATGCTATTGAGAGCATGAATATTCCCATCAATAATAAATTGAGTGATAATAGTTTGGTGCACTTAACATTATCTGTGGTTATAATTGTGTCTCAGGTCTTTAAACAAACATGAAATTGCTTCGATATTACATAACTGCTTAAAGCCGCAAAATGATGAAACCTTCTTTCTCTCCATTAAAATTTTTTATTATCGATCGAATCTTTAAATTGTGCATAAAGTTTTTAATTGAGTCATCGCAAATTTTTATTTAATTCTCGCGTAGAAGTTTCAAAAAAAAAATCACCAATATTTTTCAAGTTGATGTTATTAAGCGGAAGCCAAGGTGAAAATTTTATAACTTTTTCTGCATTATTTTAAAACAAAAAACTTATTTTCAAAAGAGAGAAAAATAAATGTGAAAATTATGGTGATGGTTGGCTATGGGGTCGGTGCTAGATGGTGTCTAATAAGGAGGAGGTTTAACACTTGGATTTTGAATGAATTTAGAATTTGCTATAAACAAAAATTAGTACTGCATATTTCAATATTTCATTTGTATGTCCGATCCAGCATCCAATGCCCCAAAGCCTTGATTTCGAATATTCAACGTATCTAAACTTCCGAAAAAGTCCAAATTTGGAGATGGCTGGATTTAAACCAACGACTTTTGAGTTACCACACTGAATTTTAACCAAATACTTTGTCTTATGTTCAACAAAAGCACATAACTTTCGATTTGGTTTTAAATATACTGTTTAAACCAAACCTAGTCAAATTTTATTTTTTTTAGCGCCAAATTAAAAGTTGTAGGATATTGCCATATTCCAGTTTGACATTCATTACGAATATCCCCAGATAATAATAATAATATTGAGTAATTGCTACACAAAAAAAATCACATCTTTGGACCGATATGAGAAAAAGTGCAGTACACTTGAAAAATTCCAAAAATTTATTTTCTTTTTATTGTCGATTTAAATTTTTGATTGTTTTTTCTTCTGTGAAATTTAAATTAACTGAATGTTGTGAATATCTTTATTACCGGTAATTTTTCAGCTTTTGGAGCATTTTTTCGTCTGCTGTAAATGTAATGGTGTATTGATTTCAACTACATTTAGTTCGATATCTTTATTGTTTCAATCACTTTATTTAATTATTTTCTTCATTCATTTGGTTTACATAACCTTTGTAGAGGTTTTAAAATTTCATGAATTTGTTTCAATTAACAGAACTTTTCATTGTTCAGTTATTTATTTCAAATCTATGCGAAATTAGGATTGTTAAGACTTGAAAATAATTATTGTAAGTTTATACAAGATAGTGATTAACCGATTAAAAGCAGAACAGAAAATGGCTTGTTACTCACAAAGAAATTCTCCACAAATCTAGCTTAGGATTCCCTGAGATCAAGCTCGCGATTGCAAGTTTACAAGTCATGACGCAATAACTCACAGTCACTCTAAATTTTTAATAGAACAGACTCGATTCAACTTGACTTTTCAATATAAATACGATAGTTATGACAACATTCTAAGTCATGCAGTATCACGCTTCATAAAATACCCAGACTGGAAATTCAAAAGAAAAAATTGCGCCAGAATAAAATTTTATTATTTTACAGACATAATTTAAATAGACAAAATACGTAAATTGATTTCTAGACACTAAGTCGTCAATGCATTTACACCACGTTACAAATCAAAGCTTAATAATCAATATCGTTTAGAAAATAATTTATCATTTTCTGTCAAGATAATAATTTCATTATTTACAACAGCTAGGTGCATAACACCCCTTTTAATAATAAAACTTCATAAATCATAATGCTGATAGAGGAATTTTTATCGAAATTATCTTTGGTTCCATATTATACAAATATTGCATAACTCACAATCAAAATTTTGACATAATTCTCTAACAATCTCTCGATTATTTCATTCGCGCAAAAAAAAAATATAAACAAAACTCTTTCCATTTGCTTTCTCATGTCAATAAACTTTTACAATAGTTTTTTTTGCTTACTCTCGATCGAATGCAGAGATCGCATCACATTGCTGCTATTCATCGGACTATGGATGATGATAATTGGTTGAAAAATTAAGTTAAATTAAAATTATTGAAAAAAATATCAATAGTTTACAGATCAATATCGCTTTTTTTGTGGATTTTAAAATATTTTATTTCCGGATCATATTATGTTTTTAAAATTAATATGACTTTAAATGGCGATTGTTCGGAAGTGCAATAATTGATTTGTAAATGTTATGAAGCATTTTGTGATTTTGGAGTATATTTTTTTGAGGTTTAAGATTGCAACAATGTTGAAGTTGTGGTGAACTGAAGTAACCCTGTTGTATGATGATCATCTAATTGGGGTTTTAGAGATTGATTCTTCATTTTTAGATATAAGCATGCTCAAAATTATCTTTTTTTGGCTCAAAACAATTAAAATCTGATCATCAACAACCCGTAAATTCAAAGTCATTTTTATATTCACACCGTTTTCACGTGTGAATCTATTGGTTTTGTTCAGATTGAAAAATCAGTTTTTCGCATTTTGTGAGAAAACAAAGCAAAATTGGTTATAAAAGGGCAAGAAGAAAAGTTTGTGCCTGAAATTTTACATCATTTTCAAAAAACAGATTTCAAATTGGTTGTGGCATTGCTGAGAAAATCGCAAAATACGCTTTCTGTAAGCAAACAAGCAAGCAAGCAAGTTAATCAGCAAGAAATCTCAATAACGAGACATCGTAGAGACTTCTAGTTTTTTACATTTGATCCGTGCTGCTCTATAGAAGAGCTGTATTGTTTTTGGGCAAGGTAGGAACAGCCGTTGCTTTAGAAATGGCAAAAAACTTTCCTTTCTTACGAATTTTTTAAAACAAAAGTTGACTGTGATTTTTATAAAATTCAACTTTGGATGAAAATTTTTTTTAAAAAACTTTTAAAGAATATTTGGCATATTCGTCAAGCTTTATACCTTCAAACTTATGCTGAGCGTAGCTCAGCTGACTCGATAGCTTTATATCTTCAAACTTATGCTGAGCGTTTTTGAGATGTTGAGATGTTGAAGAATGTTTTTGTAGATGGCAAAAGAACACGCGGGCGACCCAAGAACTCTTGGAAAGAAGCTGTTGACAGAGACAGTATTGCATTTGGTATGGTTAATTGGCAAACGGAAGCCAGCGACAGAGTCAGCTTCAGGCGCCATCTAAGGGAGGCCATGGATCACAATTGATCTGTACGGCCAGCGAAGTAAGTAAAGTAAGTAAGTATGCTGAGCGTAGCTCAGCTTACGCGATAGCTTTATAACTTCAACTTATGCTGAGCGAAGCTCCACTGCCTCTCTAATTTCATATCTTCAAACTTATGATGGGCAAATCTTGGTCTATTCATAAGACTTATGATAGTACGGTGTGAATATAATCCGCATTGGGTTTCTACCCGATACACTAGTTTGTGTAATGAAGTCGGTTGAATTCCCATTAGAGGACCAAATTCTTGAAATTGCAAAGAGTGATATAAGAGTTTCTCTGTTGATATAAAAAGGTTTTGCATAATACCACTAGAATCCTTCCTGTAATGTGGAAATGAAATTGGATCAATAGCTCGAAGATATTTGATAACAACCTCGTTAGCTAGCGATCTATACTTCCACAATTGAACTCTATGGCGCTCATTATTGAATTTCCTATCAAAAGCATTTGGTTGTGTATTTAAATAGCTTGCACAATTGTTAATTCACAACATTTGACATAAATTGAATATTCAAGAACTACTGACCCATATTAGCACCATAACAATTTTCATAGAGTAAGCATACAATAGAATTCTGTTGTATTAAAAGAAGCTCACAACTAGCAATGATTTTTCACATTAGCTTTTGATCAGAATTGCACAAAATACTAAAAGTATTTGTCATAAGTGACATAAATAGAAAACAATCAATGTTCAGACGTCAGAAGCCTCCAGTAAAATATTTCATTAATACTTTGTGAAAATTTGTCAATGAGCAATATTATCGGAAAGTTTTGTTGACAGCTCATTTGTTTATGCTGATTTATGAAACTTTCAGGTTAACAAAAAGAGAGAATTGAGAGAATTTTTGCAAAAGAATCGTGCTTTTAATAAAAAGATATTCATTCTAATTTAATACTTTTCTAAAAAGTCTGATAATAAATTAAATTAAGTAGCATCTTTAACAAGTTATTCTCTGGGGAATACCCAGAAAGAGAGAACAAAGCATCTCAGCTCAGACTCTCTTTAAACTGTTTGTTTATTAATGTGTCTTTAAGTCAGTTTTCGCAGTTCAATTTCAAATCAGTGTGTAGTGTGACTTCTCACTGGAGAGAAGTGAGGAAAAGAGAAGAGAAGCTTTAAAAAATATTCCATTTTGTTCATCAAATAACATTTTATCAATTAGCGGATTCGAAAATTTAATTATCGCATTTAGTCATGAAGATTTTAGTGATATTAGGTAAGTTAATTGAGATATTGAAGATTTTAAGCATCAGAATTGACTTAGAAATGAGTTCAAAGTAGAAATGACACTTGTGACTTTTTGAATATTAATCAAAAATTATGATAACGAGGCTGTAGAAATACCCAGTGATGTTTAATCACAATTTTATTTCCATATTTTGACTTATCAATTAATGAAAAAAAGGCAGTTACAAAAAAACAAATATTGTAGTCACTTTATGTAAACTGAGACATTTATTTGTTGACTTAACTCGAATCTATGTTTCATCATCAGACAAAAAAACCGGCTTTAGATGTTTTTAACACATAGTTGTACCTATACATGTGTACATTTAAGTTCAAGGTTGACATTTCAAAGACGATAAATGCAACAAATTGTTTAGAACTTTACGAACAAAATTATTAATATGTATTGTTTTTAAAGGTCTTGCGGCCATTGTTAGTGCACAGAATGATCCATCAGTAGGAGGTTTGTTCTCAACACCAAAGCCTTATGTTGATCCTGATGAATATGTTCAACCAGAAAATAAACAAGATCAATTTGACTGGAAATTAACAAAGGTGAGTGATTTTTTTGCAGACTCATGATTGTTGTGGTTTTGATCATACTATGAACTATAGTTGTTAACTTGAAGAAGCTTGAGTCAGCTTAGGGGCCGTTCACTTATTACGTTCGCATTTTAGGGGGGAGGGGGGGGGGGTTGAAAAATTGTAACAAAATGTAACATAGGGGGGGGGGGGGGTCAAGAAGTATGTAACGTTCGAACTGTCGTCTGTCTTAAAAAAAGTTTTCGAAAAAAATTTGTTTACAAATTCATACCAAAAACATTTTTTTAAATTGTTCACCTTTTTAATGATAAAATAAATTATGAACGTTCAGGGGGGGGGAGGGGGGTTATAAGTTGTAACATATTGTAACAAGGGGGGGAGGGGGGTGAAAAAAAGTCGTTTTTTTGCGTAACGTAATAAGTGAACGGCCCCTTAGAGCATTCATTTTGAAATGTTCATTGTGTTCTAAGCTATAAGTGAACTTCTAAAACAGTGTTGTCCAAACTGTGTGCCACGACACAATAATGATCTAGACTATATCTACATCAATATCAATACAATCAGGCAACAAAAAGATGACTCACAAAGAATCTTAACACAGGCATACGATTTTAATAATCGAATAATGTTATCAACTGACTTATTTTCAATAACTGGATATAATCTGGTTTGTTGTCTTCTATGCAAATCACTGTTGCATTAATTATCATTAGGATGGTCATTTACCTTTGAAAGAATATCAACACTAAGACACAGAATCGCTACGGCAAGTTTTTGTTGTATATATTCTTAGACATAAAACATTTTTATGAGCTTATCAGAGATATTTTAATAATTCTTCGAAGAACAAATGTTTATAGTTTTACTAATAAGCAGGGGAATTCCGAGTTTATAAAATTTTTACACAATTAATTGAGCTGGTTTTATTTTGTTGGTGGGTGTATGTCACGGATGGGATTTCCGAGAAGATGAGATAGTTTTCGGGTCCTCATCATTAAATAAGCCTTTCTAAACTTTGATTCACTATCAAAAGGAAGTTGATACCTCAATTAATTCTTTGAAATGATTCTGCACAAGCAGCTTTACTAATGAGTCCCCAGAAAAATATATTATTTACAAATTAAATGCTTTTAAAAATTTAGAGAAAATTGTTCATTCTTATTTGTGCAACCAATCACTTACCTCAAACAAATGTCTCTCAGAGAGCCAAAGAGAAACTCCACAACATTCATGCAGCCGATCGCTAATAAGGAACAACAATAAACTTAATTTTCCTTTTTAATTCCAGGAAGTACTTAAAGCACAAACAGGTAATGTCTTAATTTCACCGTTATCTGCAAAAATTCTTCTTACATTGCTCGCCGAAGCAGCAGGACAGACAGTTGAATCAAAAACAAGAAGGGTGAGTGACACGAACATGTTTACGTTGATAGCAATGAGATTGGGACAGGTTGAGCTAGAAAGAGAGAAAGAGAAATAACTATAAATAAATTAATTTATATTTATGAGGTGTGTGTGTATATGAAAGAGGATTCAATGATGATGTGCTGCATGCTAGAACACTCCTTTTTAGAAATTATAATGAACATTAGAGAAAGACATTAATGAAGATTGTGGATTTGCATGCATGAGTGCAGTATGTGTACTTTTATGTGTCTCAAAGATTGTTTTATAACTTCGAGCTTAATGCTCCTACCTTTATTGTGAGTTTTTCCTTTATAAAAGTTTAGAAACTCCTTGATGATCACTGTAATTATAGAATCAACGAAGCTCTGGCAGCATTTGAAGCTTTATTACATTCTTCGTGATATTAGACATGATTTTGAGTCTAAAATATAAATTCCGTGGATGTGCATCATTTAAGAACATCCTTTTGGTCACAATCACGTCATTATTGGATATAACTCGACTCTCGGATGTTTTATACCTTCCATTAGCTTATGATAAGCAGTTCTTCCCACGATAAATTCACATCACATTTTGTCGGCAAGAATTAATGTTTGAATTTCATTTTTGCTTGTCAGCCATAACCCGAACACCTGCTCAATTCTCAGAAGCTACGAAAACATGAAAATAAAAATCCTCAATATTTTTTTCTATCATGTAAAAAACCCATTAGCAATGAACTCTTTTTGCTTTGTTTATTCTAGGAATTAGAACAAGTTTTGCCATACAACAGGAATCTTTATGATGCTAAGGAATACTTTAAGAAGGTTTTGGCATCAATCGGTGTAAGTTTAAAGTAATTTTAACTGAATCAGATCAAATTTTATAAATTCCTCATTTTTTTGCTTTTCAGACTCTCAATGATGCTTATCGCGTCAATTTTGCCACCAGAATCTTCGTTGATGGAATTGTTAACATTAATCAGAGATTCAGTTCCATTGCTGAACACAATTATAATGCCGACGTAACTAATTTAGAATTCAATGATGCTCGTAATTCAGCAAAAACGATCAATGACTGGGTTAAGGATGTAACAAGAGGAAATATTAAGGATTTAGTATCAGAAGATGCAATCCAAAAATCAATTCTCGTCCTCATCAATGCTCTCTACTTTGAAGGCACATGGAGATTCCCATTCAATAAGACAATCTCAAGAGATTTCTTCACAGCACCAGGAAGGAAGACAAATAAGAAATTCATGGAACAGACATCAAACTTTTATTACTTCTACTCACGTCATTTGAATGCTAAGATCCTTAGAATGCCATATGAAGGACGTAGATTCTCAATGTTCATTGTATTACCATCAGAAGTTGACGGAGTTGATGCTGTTGTTGAAAAACTTGAATCAAATGCTCTTAAGAATGAAGTCTGGCATATGGATGAGCTTGAAACTCATGTTGTTATCCCTAAATTCAAGTTTGACACATCTGTTAATTTGAATGACATCACAAAAGCTGTAAGTTGATGGAAGTTGTTGTGGATTACAACTGGAGTTGAACAAATCTTATTCTAGCTTATTTGAGTTGTAATCCTCGAGAATTTAAGGACAATTATTCATGATTTTACTTACCAAACTTTATTAATTTCAGCTTGGAATCTCAGAAATCTTCGAAAACTCAGCCACTTTCCCATTATTAGCCAGAGGTAAAGTTCTTGATTAGATTCATGGATTCATGAGATTAAATTGTCAACTTATTAATCTTTTCAGGAGGTAATTCAGAAGGAAAATTGAAGGTTTCAAACATTATCCAAAAATCAGGAATATCAGTTGATGAAAAAGGAACAATTGCATATGCAGCAACAGGTTTGAAAATACTTCAGATTCCCATAATTCAATAACTGACATTTTCCATATTCTCAGAAATCGAACTCGTCAATAAATTCGGTGGTGAGCCAAAAGAATTCATCGCAGATCATCCATTCGTGTTCTACATCGAAGATGATGTTACCGGTGCAAAGTTATTCTCTGGTCGTGTATCAAACCCAGACTATTAAGTATAACAAGAGAAGTTTTCCATCATAAAAGTAAAAGTTTCTTTTGTATAATGACTAAAGTTTTTTTAATAGCATTTTCTAATTGAAATAGAAGTACTTGTCTTTATTTTATGACTTAAAATTGAAATAAAACGATTTTTTATAACAAAAGTAATAGGATGGCTTTTTAATTGATATGATAGACATGTGTTGGATCCAGATATATTCGCAATTACTTTATTCTAGCTAGTAATGACAAACTCTTTATTTGTGAAAGGTTAATTGCGAACTTGAACCATATTTACAATAAACTGTAGCTTGACTCTCAAAACTGATAAAACTTAGCCGGTTTACTCTTTTACCAGCTCTTACATTTACTCAACAGAGATTATTTACTGCTTACGTTCTCTTCTCTCATGATTATCGATGTTAAGGTAATTAAAGAATTTAAATAATCAGTTTGTTGTGTGACTTCTGGCCTGTTAGACTAGAAAAGATTAAAAACTTTAAAAAAATTTACAATTAATTATCAATTAATAGAAAATAAACTTGTTATAGGCATTAGCCATGAAAATTTTGGTAATTTTTTGTAAGTTTTCAAATCAATTATCAGGGTTTTCTAGTTTTTTCAGGATTTCAAAACATTTTTAAGATTTTTAAGGTTGTGAAATTGGTCAACTAGCGATTGCTTTCAAAATTTAATATAAAACAAAATTACAATCTTACTCATCAATTAGCTAGCATATCAAAATTGTTTATTTATTAATTTTAAACTTTGCTGATTTTAATAATCTGAATTAGTTGCTCACTGAAAAACCGGCTTAAAAGATTATGTCAATGTCTCTTAGAAATTCGCATAAAATTTTAATTTTAACTTTCAATGCTTAGAAAGGTTCAACATGAGCTTTGGATTTCCCCGCCATTTGTTAATCTACAAACTTCATTATTGACTGTAATAATCTTTTAGGTCTTTTATCACCATTTGCGGTAATAAATTCACAAACGAATGATGGCTCTGCTGAATATGTTCAACCAGAAAACAAACAAGATCAGTTTGAATGGAAGTTGACCAAAGTAAGTAGGCTGAATTGCAATTCCAATTAGAATTTTAAAGATTTTATAACGACTATTTTTTGGTTTTTAAGGAAGCTTTAAAATCTCAACATAATAATGTTCTGATTTCACCTTTATCGGCTAAGTTCCTGCTTACACTGCTTTCTGAGGCAGCAGGCATGACAATTGACTCAAAAACCAGAAAAGTAAGTTCAATGTCTTAATACTAATGAGGATTAAATTTCAATAGGCTAATAGGTTCAATGATATTCTTTTTTTCTAGGAACTTGATCAAGTTTTACCACAGAGTAGGAACCTTCAGGCTGCTAAGGTATACTTTAAAACAATTCTAGATTCAATTCAAGTAAGGTTACAACATAACATGTAATTCATCAACATCTTATGAATTAAATTTCATTTTTCAGTCCTCAAATGATGCATATCATGTTAATTTTGCAAACAGAATCTTTGTAGATAAAATTGTCAACATCAATCAAAGATTTGGTGCAACTTTAGAGCACTTTTATAACACCAAGATAGTAAATTCTGATTTAAGTGATGCTGCTGGTTCAGCGCAAATAATCAATAACTGGGTTAAAGAATCCACAAATGGAAAGATCGGCGATTTAGTATCAGATAGTGCTATCCAAAATTCTATTATGGTTATCATGAGTGCTTTAAACTTTGAAGGAACATGGAAGTTTCCATTTAACACTATTGTCTTAAGAGATTTCTTAACAGCACCAGGAGTTCAAATTTCCAAAGAATTTATGGAAGTAACAGAAAGCTTTTATTCCTGTAATTCACAAAGTTTAAATGCAAAGATCATTAGATTGCCATATGAAGGCAAGAAGTTCTCAATGTTTATTATTCTACCCAATATAGTCAATGGCATTGATGCTGTGGTTGAAAAACTCGACTCTAATATTCTTAACAATGAAGCTTGTCAAATGGAAAAATCTGAAACTCATGTTGTGATTCCTAAATTCAAGTTTGATGCATCATTTAGCTTGAATGATGTCACGAGAGCTGTAAGATTGACTATCAGTAACTTTGAATTATTTTGATAAAATTTTTAAATTCTAGATTGGAATTAATGAAATCTTTGAAAGTTCTGCCACTTTCCCGTTATTTGCAAGAGGTAGGCAGGAAGCTTTTTGTTCATTCTGAATGATTGTTATCTTAATTTTTGCAGGAGGTGGATCGCAAGGAAAGCTTAAAGTATCAAATATCATTCAAAGATTAGGAGTTATTGTCGATGAGAAAGGAGTAGTTGCAAATTCAGCTATTGGTTAGGTTATCTTAAAATTGATTTGAGTATTGATTTCTTATTGTTGTTCTATTTTTCAGGTGTTGAACATGTTATCAAATTTGGTGGTGAACAAAAGGAGTTTATTGCTGATCATCCATTTGTATTCTATATTGAAGACGATACAACTGGTTCAAAATTGTTCGCTGGTCGAGTATCAGACCCAGACTACTGAAAAGGATTAGCATGCTTTTATGATAAATAATAAAATTGAAATCTTTAATAAGCACCAATAAGGTTTTTATTTCAGCAATAAAGGAAAGCTAGTTTTGAGCATTATAAATGCAAATAGGCGAGCACAACTCGATTAAAAATCTCTTTTATTTTTGTTTCTAGCTACACTTCACTGCACTTTTGCTTAAACTTCATTCATTTACAGCCTGAATCAAGAGAGTAATCAGGATCAATCTTATTCTCTTCTTCTCAGAGAGTTGAAGAACCTTCGTACAAAGTCAAATCTATCTTATTTTTGCTCACTGGAAATTCTTTCTTATCAAAATCAAAACCTGTTTGAGAACTAAGATACTCTGGGAATCTCCAGAGTAAAATATTTATACTTTGAAGAACTTATAATTTGCTCATTGATCAACCAAACGTCGTTGTCTATGTACAGAAATTTAAACATTCTTATTTTGAAAATGATTTTATTTAAAGTAAAAGTTTTAATTTTAATACTTGTTGGTGTAAAAAGTGAAGATTTATCAATTGGATCGAAATGCCAGGCAAATGATGGTTCTGAAGGAAGTTGTGTTGGTATTGACAGCTGCAATATAATCCGAGATAATTTAAGAAATGACACAATTCAAATGAATCAAGTCGTTGTATGTAATAAATTGATGAGATATGTCTGTTGTCCTGCTGAAACATCATTCTTCAGTTCTCGATTAAATTTGGATAGATGTAAGCTATGCCTTATTAGTTACTTTACAATTTGTATAATATTAAACATATTTTTCAGTATCTTCATGGAACCTAATTGAGGTAGGACAAAAGAATCAAAATTTTTTTGGGCTTATTCAGAGCTATTTCTTGTTAGGATGGTCCAAGAGCTTGTGGAAAACCTGTAATTGGATTTGGTACTGTTTTTTATGGAACTCAAATTAAACGTGGAGCATATCCATGGTAAGTTTAATAAAATTTATATAATTTACTATCCTATAGTTGATCATGGCTTATTTTGCAGGATTGCAGCACTCACCAAGACCGAAAATGACCGATTCTTCTGCGGTGGAACTATTGTGTCAAAAAACATTGTTATTACGGGTAGCACTCTTATTATTTTAAAACTGAATATTGAATAATTTAAAATCATTACAGCTGCTCATTGCATCGAGGGTAAACAAAGAAATCATGTCTTTGATCCAAAAGACATATTCGTCATTCTCGGTGCTCACAATTTGGAAGCACGTCATGAACCTGATAGGGTTACAGCAAGTGTTCGGGCTATTCATGTTCATCATGACTGGAATCCATTCGTAGTATCATTTGATGCTGACATTGCAATTCTTGAATTGGCAAATAATGTTAATTTTAATGAATTCATTCAACCGATCTGCATAGCTGCACCAAAATCAGAGGCTGCATTAAAAACAGATGGTGTGGTTGTCGGTTTTGGACGAAGTGAAAATAGGAGAATTGAAAATATTGCCAGAGTTATAACTTCACCAATTCATAGTCATCAGTTCTGTGCTAATAGTTCCGATCATGAAACATTGTTAACACATCGAACATTCTGTGGAGGTTTTGCTAATGGAACTAGTGTTTGTGAGGGCGATAGTGGAAGTGGATTGATAGTTAAACACAATGGAGTTTATTATCTTCGTGGAATAGTTTCAGCATCACTTTATGATACTCTTATTGGATGTAATATCAATTCTTATTCAATTTACACGGATACTTTAGAATTTTATAGTTGGATTACAACTGGTACAGACGATAAGGTCTTGCTTCAAAAGACTTTGGAGGAAAATCGAAAGTTGCAATTAGACATTAATAGGTAAGTGTTCATGAAGTTGTCTTAGTCTAATTTAACATTTATTACCTTATCTATTATTTAAATATTCAGATATGTTGCGACAATTCAGGAATTAAAGGAAGAAATTAGAATTTCAAAAGCGAATTTAACAACAACTTTAAATTCAATTGTTTCTGAAGAGTATGTTCAACCAGAAAATAGGCAAGATCAATTTGATTGGAAATTAACAAAGGTGAGTGGTCTTTTTAATTTCTTCACTGGAGTTCTAAATTTAGCTATTTGTCATTTTCAAAGGCTTTTCTTAAGTCGCAATCTGGCAATGCATTAATTTCACCGTTAGGATCTAAATTGTTATTGACCTTGCTAGCAGAAGCAGCAGGACAGACATATGAAACTAAAACAAGAACGGTAAGTAGACAAATTAGATTAAAACTTTTTCGTAATATTGCTTAATTTTCTAGGAATTAGAACAAGTTTTGCCAAACAACAGGAATCTTTATGATGCTAAGGAATACTTTAAGAAGGTTTTGGCATCAATCGGTGTAAGTTTAAAGTTATTTTAACTGAATCAGATCAAATTTTATAAATTCCTCATTTTTTTGCTTTTCAGACTCTCAATGATGCTTATCGCGTCAATTTCGCCTCAAAAATCTATGTAGATAGAACCTTTAAAATTAGTCAGAGATTCAGTTCCATTGCTGAATACAATTATAATGCCAATGTTACTAATTTAGAATTCAATGATGCTCATAATTCAGCAAAAATAATCAATGACTGGGTTAAGGATGTAACAAGAGGAAATATTAAAGATTTAGTGTCAGAAGATGCAATCCAAAAATCAATTCTCGTCCTCATCAATGCTCTCTACTTTGAAGGCACATGGAGATTCCCATTCAATAAGACAATCTCAAGAGATTTCTTCACAGCACCAGGAAGAAAGACAGCTAAGAAATTCATGGAACAGACATCAAACTTTTACTACTTCTACTCACGTCATTTGAATGCCAAGATCCTTAGAATCCCATATGAAGGAGGTAGATTCTCGATGTTCATTATTTTGCCATCAGAAGTTGACGGAATTGACGATGTTGTTGATAAGCTTGATTCAAATACTCTTAAGAATGAAGTCTGGCATATGGATGAGTATATAATTCATGTTGCTATTCCTACGTTCAAGTTCGACACATCAATTAACTTGAATAACATTACTAAAAGTGTAAATTCATCATATATTTCAATTTAATAGTTCAAATTTAAATTGTTTACAATTTTTGTTCTTTCAGTTGGGGATCACGGAAATTTTTGAAAGCACTACGAATTTTCCATTACTCTCTAGGGGTATGTATTAAGATGATATTAATGTCTTGAAATTTACATTTTCAATGTTTGTATGTAGGAAACGAAGAAGGAAAATTGAAGGTTTCAAATATAATTCAAAAATCAGGAATAGTTGTTGACGAAAAGGGCATTATCAATCACTTAATTCCAGGTATATTTAAAAACTTTATATCAAGGATTAATCTATTATAATTTATGTTATTTTTATCATTTAATGAAGAAGAACAAAAAGTATCAGGGTGTCGGCCTAAAGAATTCATCGCAGATCATCCTTTCGTATTCTTTATTGAAGATGATACAACTGGTGCGAAAATATTAGCCGGCAGAGTTTCGAATCCAGAATACTAAAGTTATAATTCAAATTCACATTCTTTGATTGTTAAAACCTTAACCAAAAACCACAAAAACATTGAAGCATTCAAGATTTTTCATAAAACATCACTGGAAAATGTACAACATCGCATTTTCCTTAATAGGCTTAATTTGTTGCTGTTTATTTTAAAAATACTGTATTTTATTTTTCTAATAAAACTTTATAATAATAAGACATAAAATCACACTCAAATGGGTATAAATTCAGTTCCAATTGAAAGCTTTTGATTGAGCACTTTTTGACTAAAACTGTTGCTAATATTTGTTATAATCCTTTATTTATGCAATGAAAATCACGGCGGAACAGAAGAAATATGAATAAATTGATATTAATCTAGTCGGTTTTAATTCAAATGAGTACTGTTTGCCTAAAGGTCTTGCTAAGACACCACTAGTGCAAATAATTTTATATAATGTTAACAGTTCAGAATTTTCAGTATCAATTGAGCTGTTAAGATCATTACCTTCAAGAGAGATTTTGTACCGATTTGCACAGAGTTAAAAATGCAATTTTGTATAAAATAATAAATAAAATGAGCAAATAAATACTTCAGTTGATCAAGGTCAAAAGTCAAAGCATAACTCAATCCTAAAATTCTACAATTCTCCATTTGTCCATTCAAATGCACTCAAAACACCACAAGGGACCTTAGAGTAGCAAAATCCTAAGTAGATCTACCCGAAAAGCAACAAGAAAAAACCATAAATGAGCACAAAACATAAAAACTTACAGCACAAACATTTTTTAGTCTTTCCCATGTGTGCAGAATTGGTGAAAATAGAGACGAAAACTCGTTAATGGAATAAAAAGTTCTATCATGATATACATTATTCTTCTTTATTTTTTTGTATGTCTACACGCTTCCTCAAGAGAGCATTTGCTGGTTATTTTATTATAAAATAATGATGTCGAGATGGTGGCAAATGCATTTAGCAACTCGCTGGTGTCGGTCTATAATGAATAATGTTGTTGTAAGAGCAATAAGAAGGGAAGAATAAACATAAATAAAAGCACAGAAATGAGGGAGAGCAGAAATTATCAAAATCATTTTCCACTCTGCATTGATAATTTAATATTCCAATTATTCGCATTAAAGAAACATTCAATTATTCTTTTTTCTTGTACAGCATTGAAAAAAATATGAAGGAAAATGGCAAACGATCCATTAATATAGTGCTATACAGAGTCATTTGCGAGTACATGAAGAAAATATGTTGCATTCATTCTCCTCGTTCTTGTCTAGTAATAATAATATTTTGATTTTGACATCGTTGATCATTGAATTTTGTACGGTGCTCAGTCTATTCATTCATATACTGCATGTTTTCATTATACTCAAGGGTGAATTTTTATCTCTTCTTAATATATTAATATTCCTTCTCTTTTGAGCGAAGTTCTTTTGACGATTTTTATTTGGTGTGAAGGTGCTTTGAGTTGTGGTGGTTTTTCCATGTGACCGTGAAGGTTCTTTTATGTGCTGTTAAATCATAGCTGTCGATCTATCTTCAAGATCCTCCAAGATCCATTTTATTAAAACGATTACATTCCTCAGCTAATCAGAAAGCAATTAAATGGAGTATGTAGCTTGAAAATAGTGTTGTCTGGCTCACTCAAAGCGTTCCAGCAACATCAGTGTTTAGCAATTTGATTTCATTTTCCTTCAGTAGTTTTAAAACTAAAACAGCCGGCACAGTTCAATGTAAGAATGGCCTACAATTTCAAATTTCCTTCTTTCTCAAAATGTAAGACATCATTCGTAAATATCCCCTGAACAAAATGCTTGTTTGCATCCGTTTAAATTATTTTTCATAGCCGAAGGGCAAGGACCAGTTTAAAAGCGTATTTAAATATGCCTTAAAGGTTTTTTGACCCTAATATGCTGCCACTTTAGAGGAGTTCATCTTGTTTATAAAGGGTAGATAGCATTTTAAGTGGTTTTTTAAACACGGTCAGCCTAAGGCAGTTTTTTGTTTGATGGTTGGAGGAGAAGCATTGGCATCATGAGAATCTTATGAAGCATTTATGATTCTTTGATTTCTTGAGCTGATTAATTCAAAAAAGTAAAATTCGCATCAAATTCGATTCTTTTCTCGGAGAAGCCAAATCAGCACCACAAAACACTGGTCCTCCCACAGTCTTCGTCAAGGAATTCCAAAAATTCCAAAATATGTTGGTCCACAACTGATTTTAATCACGGTTCAGTACAAAAAACTGCGTCTCATGTCCTCATTAACCATCAATTCCAGCATTAATTCCATCTTCGTCTCTTTATTTGTGCAAATTCACTTTATGTCTATTTATTATTCCACCCTATCTTCATTTACACATAACAGCGACGATGAGGAATAAAAAAAAAGTAAGTAGATAGGAAGAATGAATGCAAAAAGTTTTTTTTTTGTGGGATACAGATAATGAATACCGGAATAAATTAATATATATCATGAACCAGAAGGAGACAAGAATGAAATAAAAATAAAAGAGAAAAGTAAAGGCTATTAAAGATGTTTCAACCCCTACGGAGTAATAGGTATGACATTAAAGACTCATAAGAATACAGTCGTAGATATCAACATTTGATGAAACATGACATTTTATGTGTTCCATAAAAAAGTAAGGAATTTCTTCCATTTCCTTGTGATTTTATTGATTCTTGATTCGCATTTCTGCTATTTATAATCATCAAGGCAGGAAGGTAGAAATTTTCGTGCTTTTTGGCACTCCTGAAATTTAGAAAAATATGCGTGGATGTTGAAAAAATTTTACCGATGAGAAATGAGGAAATAAAATGATTTTATGCTGTAATGCATGCATGATTTAACACATAAATAATTTAGGAATCAATTGAAAGATCAAAATATGGAAGGGATTGTTTAGTCAGTGGTGTAGCTTAGGTTTTGAGGGACTAAAGTAGAATTGTAAAATCGTGTGTATAACTGTTGAGTCATTGACTTATTGTGTCTGTCAAAAATATGATTTTAGACCTTTCAAGCCTTGTTTAATCCAGATTTAACCTAGCCATACCCTCATGAAAGCTCTACAAAATTAATAAAGTACCAGAAAGTGCTACTTAGTCTAAGAATTGAAGCAACCCACATTACATAACCCACATCAACCCACCCAAGCTACACCACTGTCAATCCACTCAATATCGATCAATATGTTTTTAAAAATAAAAATTTCCATCACGATTTTTAATGAATCAGCTTAAAAAGTACGCTCTTATCACCCTCTAAAAAAATATCAAAATAACCCTCTTACTCACTTCACTCATTTTCGATTCTATGCCTCACATCATGTAAGAAAGACACAATGAATGTACACACGCGTTCTTGTTATTAAAAGCTTGTCAACTGTGACCGAATAGAACATATTTTTATTATTTCTTGTTGGAATGAAAAGAAGAAGCAAAAGGATTATGAAAAATTGCTACACGCATTTGCACTTAACGAGTGTAAATTAAATTCATATAAGTTGTACATACACAAAAAGTGTTTTCTATTTTGGCTCGCATTATGTTAAGTTACTTATAGAAACTTTTAATCTCCTCTCGTGTAACAAAAGTTTTGGAAACTCCATTATATTGGTAAATTATGTTCGATACTTCATGATAAAAGGCAGCATTGGTTTCTTGTTGATGATTCCTTGGAGTGATTTTGGGATGAAATAAGTTCTGGAATGAATTAAGATCCAACAACTTTGTTTTCAATTAAGACCTCTATTTAAGAAGTGAGCAACTGTGCTAAACACAATTACATATCAGGTATGGTTCAAATAGTTCAGTCTGAATTTTTTAAAACTTTCTAGCGTACCAAAATTGATGTTGCTTTGTAGTCACTGACCCCACTCACCTTTCGTTGACAGAATCCTTTAGGCTGTTAAACCTAACGCTGGATTTATAATTTACAGTGACCTAATATTTTGGAACCTGAATACTGCATCAGTAATTACAACTATTATCAATCTATGAGCTGCACCTTAGCCAAGCTATGAACCTCCATCAAGCTAAACATTTTTTCTTTCAAGATATCTTCCCAAAATCATACCAAGGAACAAACTTCTCCGAATCTATAATGACGATGAATTGAAAAGAAAACTTTTCATAAAAAAAAAGAAGTCAGGATATATACACAATTTTGAAAAGCAATTTAAGGAATGGAATATGATTAATGGTAATAAATTTTGACTTTTTTCTTCTCTCTCACACAGAATTTTGCCCTTTTCACAAATTTTTATTCAGCAAATAGAAATACTTATTATAGCACCGTACACATTCGAAGCATATCGTCTGTAAAAAAACGAAATTGAGAGGAATAAAAAAACGGAAACTGAAGCTGAAAATCATAAATTACAATTTTTTTTTTTCATTGGCTTTGACATCTTGAGGGTACAACAAAGTTTCCTACTAATATTATGCTCTAATAACTTGTGTAATGTTCATGAAAGGGATGAATTGGCAGTGAAAATTTTTTGTTGTTGTGTAATTGACTATCTCAAATTGTGTTGCATTAACATCGTCACGTGTACGCATTGAATTTTTATTGTCAACATGCTGTTAATGACGATAAATGTTTAAAAGCAGCAAATTTGGCATGCTGACTCGACGGAAGGTTATTGATTTTTTTGTCTATCAATTTAGGGGTCGTGTGGATGTTAAGGAGCATTAAAATTGACTTTTTGAAGAATTTTTATGAATAGTCTGAGTCAAGGGCTAGGTTTCTCTTGTCATTTCCTTTATAATCCTCTAGGATATACTTTAAAACCATTCTTCAACCTACCTCCAGAAGTACGCAACATTCAAAATTACTCCCTTTGCCATAGTTACTTACTAAGACTTATTAAGAGTATCAAATACTCTCTACATCTGAAAGTAATTCCGTCAGAAGTGTGAGGAAATAATGTTATTGACTTACGAATTTTTCTTCCTATTACTTCGATGTCGATGTGTGAAGATTACATTCTTTCCCATCTCTTTAATGCCTTCTTCGTCTTCGCTTTTTTTCCTTCTGACAACAAATTAAGTTGGACACATTTTTCCATCCTCTCAACAGTCTTTCTCCTTCATTTTGATGCTTCTTATTCTTCTTGTTGGTTTATTTTCCTCTTTAATTTTTTTCCTCGTTCTTGTCGTATGTGTTTTTAAGCTTGAGGACATTCGAATGAGAAGGGAAATGGAGAAAAACATGAGGAAAATTATTTTTTTGGCAAGTTTAGACAAGGTTAGTGGTTGAACTTTAAATAGGTGGTTAGTTTTGAGTTTTGAGGATTTGTGTATACCCAAGTTAACGTGCTTAAGGTCAAGCATTTACCAGATGGGACGGTAACTTAATGTAATGTAGTGAGAACTATACGAATTGATAAGAAATAATTAAGAGATCGGATTAAATGGGGAATTGAACCCAAGCCCTAGCAAAGAAGTGAGCTTTCAATTTATGATTTATTAATCAACAACTCGGCTATACTCTCGCACTGACAGATTTTACTATATATCGCTCATTCTCCAGATGAAGCACTCTGATCCTGTAAATTCTGAAAAACTTAATACATCCTCAACTTTGTACCTTGCATTCCTACGAAATAAACTGCGCTCACCAAGAAAATTCGTCCTTTTCGTCTCATTGATCTATCCAAGATAAGGCAAAGCGTAAAAACGTTAAGGGAGTAAAATTAAGAAGAAAAAAAAGAGAAAGGAAGTGAAGGCTAGAACATGACAAAAACAGCAACAGTAATGAATGAAGAAAATTGGAAACGACCGATACAAAAAGGAGAAAATCTTTAACTTAATTCAATCGAAATAATAAAA